CAGCGCCGTACGAACGGTGCTGGGATCCTCTGCTCGCAGCTGCAGCCGCAAGCAGAGGATGCTCCGTTCACTGTTGTAGCGGCGACGGAGGGATCCCAGCACCATCCATACGGCACTGGAGCAGCGCCGGCGGCAAACCGCTATACAGCGCATGTGTGGCGTCACTACATACAGCACATATGTGCGACGCCACACATGCACTATACTTAGCGGTTTGCTGCCAGCGTCGGGATCCTCTGCTTGCGGCTACAGCCGCGAACGGAGGCTCCTCCACATGCGGCTATGCGATGGCTGCTTGCACCGCCGCGAGCCCCCGCGGGGTGACTTCTTGTCACCCCTACAGACATGGAACCCAAGGTGCACCGCTCCCCCACCTCTCCGTTGCAATGCCACTGCCTACATGCCTCCTCTTCCAGCAACTCCTATAGCCAAGCTGGTGTCAAGCATATTGCTCTGCTTCTCTTTGGACCACATCAGAGAGGCCAAGAGGGGGGTCTTGTCGTCTGGGCAGCCCAGGACTTCCATACACACTGCCTAGGTTTGCATCCCAGGGAACTCACTTCCAGGGCTGGACTAACCATTAAGCAAAATAAGTACATTCTTAGGGCATCAAGGGAAGGAGGGCACCACAGAAATTTCCCATTGCTGGATTTTTTAACATTAATGGTCACAAATTGCTCAGCTAAGCGTTCATTTTCTCAGTTGAAGTATTGTATATTAAAAATCCCAACAGACCAACTATGCAACAAGGCAGGCTGGATGCCTTATCTCTACTCAGTGGCAGACCCGCCAGGGTGTCAGCTTGCTAGATGGCAAGTGGGGCCTCTTAAACATTAGACAATATGTTTAAAATGTTAATGATATTTTAGTAGCTTGAAAATATATCAGAAGTACCATGTCAAATCTATTGAAATGCTTATCAACGATACAAGATTCAGACGAGTTTGATGCATAAACAAAACAAGAAGCATATGTTTTACTTCAATGTCTTCTAAAGTTTGAAACAATATTGACAGCATTTGCTTATTTCTATATATTTAAAATGACAGCCCCATTATCAAGTTATTGACAGAACAGGGGTTTAGATACTATATGTTTACCGCATGGAGTTTACTAGATGCAGCTACACAACACAGCTGAAGGAACAGACAAGAACATTTGATAACGTTCACAGCAAGGTGAATGTAATGCAAGATTTCACAGTTGAGCATGGATGAAAATCAAACATTGGAAATTGACTCTTTGGAAACAGCATTGCCAGTTAAGAGGCAGAGGAAGAAGAAATGAATGAGCTTATAGATAATGAAAGAAATTTCTCAGATTCTCTAGCTGATTTTCAAGTAAATGTGTTTAACCTAAAAACGGGCCGCATTGTGCAGTCACTAGATCCACACTTTGTACAACACAAGAAGTTGTATGAAGATTTATCCTGCTCAGACCCAGCAAAGTTAAAAGCGATTGTAAAGAAGGGCCTTGAAGAAGAAACACTGGAAGGTATTATTAAACCAACTCCACAAATCAGCAAAGATTAAGTAATGTTGGAATTGTTTTATTTTGCTTTGAACTTTGCTGTATGATGGTGAGAATAAGGATTCCAGTTGCACCATTTGTAAAATTTGTAACAATCGCTTATCCTGTGTGCTAAAAATTCTGGCATCCAACAGACTTCATGACAAGACATACGATCACCTTTATGAACTTTATAAAGTCATCTGCGCACTATCAGTTACTCAAGTCCAACGTGAGAGGAGATTTCCAAAGCTAAAAGTCATAAAGACAAGGCTCAGAAATTCACTGTCTGAAGAGAACTTGGAATAATACAAGTTGCTATCCATTGAGAAAATGAATTGTTAGATGAATTGGATGCAGAAGCAATTATTGACAGATTTGAAATCATCTAGTGAATTCAAACAATTACTCTGAATATAGTAGACTGTATGAAACATACTTTTGAACTTACCTGTTAATGTGTAAAATGTTCAGTACCAGAAAACTATTTTAAAATATCCACCATTTATTTATTTTACAAAAATCAAATTTAACAATCTGTACTTACATTTAGTATCTATTGTAGACTGCCAGTAATTTGTACAATATATATGTATACTGTAATTACTAAATCTATATATATACAGTTATTTCACCCCAAAAAATCTTCCTTTTTCCACTTACGTATTTTTTGAAAATTTCATTTATTTCTTAAAAAAATTAAATGAAACCCTTATAGTTGTGCATGAGCCCGCTTTGGCTCCTGATAACCAACATTTTTAGACCCAGTCCGCCACTGTCTCTACTAAGTATAGAAGCAGATGTGTTACGTAAGATTAGTTTTGAACATCTGATCAAAGACTTTGCAAATAGAAAAAGCAGGAGAATTTTTTTCCAAACATAAATAAAGTGGAAGCATAAAAAATAAGCATTATTTTCCATCTTGCTATAGCCTTCGTTTCATTTCAAAAAATTAAATTTTATTTTACAGTTTATTGTTGCTTATATTTTAAATAAGATATATATGGGGGCACCAACATCTTTAAAGTGCTTAGGGCTTCTAAAAGTCTTAATCCAGCCCTGGTCACTTCAGTGCTGCTAACACAGCGGTTTGACTTCACTCCTAAAAAGTGCACAGATGCCAACATAATCAGCTGCAGTTTCTAAAATTTCTGCTAAAGTTTCTTTTTCTGCATCTATTCACCCCAGGCATCAAGAGCCGAGACAACGCATTACTTCAGCCTTTGCCAACCTGTTGCTCTAGATGTTTTGGATTACAACAAGCACTGCTGAGAGTTGTGGTCCAAAACATTCAGAGGGCATCAGGTTAGCAAAACCTGCAAGACTTAAAATGAGCTCACCTGGTGGGGCAGCGGCTTTTCCCCAGAGACTGACGAAGCAGCGTAGACGGTGCTTCCCAGGGCAACGTTCCCTCCTCTTTGCCAAACGCAGGTTGGATTCCAAGCCAGCAGCAATTATCTTCTTTTAATTTCTCGTCCTCTCAGCACCCTCACTGCACTTCCAGTTTTCTACCAGAGCAAGATTCAGAGCTGTTCAAAGCTCAAAGCTCAAAGCTCTATGTAACCTTCCTGAAACACTTCTCCGCCTCTTTCCCTCCCTCCTCTCCCCCGGGCATCAGAGTCTAGCATTCATTATGTAAGGCTGCTGAGACGCCTCCCACTGCCAGAGGTTTCCTGTCGGCTCTGGCCTTGATGTCTATCCTCCAGCATCAGATCTTTGCCTTTGCTGTGGTCCATGGAGAACCCAGTGAATAAGCAATACCAGATATCTTTGGGGTCTTTTGGAGAAGCCAAGAAAACCTCTCCCTGCTCTGCATACATTTGCTTTTTTCATCCCTCAAACTCCTCTCCCCCACTCAATCCTTCTCTGCTTCTTCCTTTGACAATCTTTCTTTTCTCCCTTCCATCCTCAAAACACTTGACACCGAAATCCTAAAATCTTGCAGCTCTCCACTACCTAGGCTAACACTGCAGCTGCATACACACCATACAGTTAAAAGCACACGGCTCCCCACCAAATAATCATGGGAACTGTGGCTTACTTCTCGCAGGGCTACAATTCCCGGTACCCTTAATAAACTACAGTTTCTGGGATTATTGGCAGGTTGCTTTAAATGCATGCTGTGTATGCAGTCGACAGGGAGTTTGGATCACCCTGTAGGGCTTTCCCCAAGCCTGGTGCCTTCCAGATGTTTTGAACTACAACTCCCATTAGCAGGATGGAGAATGCTGCAGTAAGGATGAATTCTCTGGTTTGCTACATCCCCATAAAAGGTAAAGGTAAGGGGACCCCTGACCATTAGGTCCAGTCGTGGCCGACTCTGGGGTTGCGGCGCTCATCTTGCTTTATTGGCCGAGGGAGCCAGCGTACAGCTTCCGGGTCATGTGGCCAGCATGACTAAGCCGCTTCTGGCGAACCAGAGCAGCGCACGGAAACGCCGTTTATCTTCCCGCCGGAGTGGTACCTATTTATCTACTTGCACTTTGATGTGCTTTCGAACTGCTATGTTCGCAGGAGCAGGGACCGAGCAACGGGAGCTCACCCTGTCGCGGGGATTCGAACCGCCGACCTTCTGATTGGCAAGTCCTAGGCTCTGTGGTTTAACCCACAGTGCCACCATCCTCATAGCTGGTGTTTAAACTAGGGTTTGGGGAAGCAAAAGGCCTGCCTGTTATTTCCCTGAAAAGCAGAGATGGAGACCAGCATATCCGCATAACCTTGATGTGTCAGCATTAGGAATCCCACCCTGTCTGGAATCCTTTGAGGTTTCTTTTCATCTCTAGGCCTTGACGTGATCAGCATTGCCCAAGACTCTAAACTGCCAGTTGAAATCCACTTAGGGGTCACCCTCTCTCTCCAGCGAGTTATTTTGGTTCCTTAAAAAATGACATTTGTCCTTACTTACCCACTTTCAAGTTGTATTTATTCTCTCCCATTCCAAAGCTCTCTTTGCTGAAATGATCTCAGTGACCAGCGTGGTCCCTCTTGCTCCATAAAATCATGTCATTGCTCTACAATATATATTTTTTTCTATTCACACCTCCTGGGCTGCTTAACACCTCACTTGACATATGATGGAAAACTTCAAGAACCCAACGCATTTAAGAAGACAGCCCTTGGGAGCTAGAGGAATGGGATGTGGGAGGGAGCAAGTTGGGGTGTACATTAGAAATGTGCATTTTCTGAGCTCCTCGTCTACTGGCGACTCTGCCGAGCTCTGCTGACACTTCCTGTTTACTGAAGCATTTCACTTCTGCCATCTTGGATAATGTTTCTGTTCATTAGAGCCAAGAGAAAACATGCCATTTTATATATTTTTGTCCAGTTCTCTAAGCAAGTCTGCACTTGTCATAGCAACAGGGACTCCTCAACCTGATGTGAGCAGGAAGCTGAGACAGGCCATTGGCCCATCTAGTTCAGTATTATTTACACTGACTGGCAGCAAGCAGTTCTCCAGAATTTCAGACAGGGGCACGTTTTCAATCCCTACCTGGGAACTCCAAAGACCAAACCTGGGACATTCTGCATGCAAAGCAGATGCTCTACCACTGAGACACAGCTTTCCCCTGAATTCTATAAAGATCTCTTTCTTCATACATGGGGCAGGGATTTTCTCAGTTATGGAGTCCAAGGTTATAGAACTCCCTCCCTGGAGAGGTTCCCTTGGCCCCTTTCTCCCTTGGCCTATTCCAGGGGTCAGAAACCTTAGACTCAGAGGCCAAATGCAGCCCTCCAGGCCTCGACTTCTGCCCCTTGGGAATCTTCCCAGGCTACCTGCCTCACCAGCTTCGCTTTGCAATTTCCATGACTGATTTTGCCTATCCAAAATGTATCCTAGAGCTCTGATAATGCCTCTTGCTTGCCTGGATAGAGGCTGCAGTGGGGGTACATGAGTTTATATAAATATAGCCTACTGTACACAGGCAAATTTTCTATTTGTTGCATTAGAAGAAGTACCAACAGTGGAGGAATGGCAGATGAAGATGATGGACTTTTGGGAACTAGCTGATCTTACTGGAAGAGTCCGCGACAAGAAGGAGGAGGAGCACCAAGAGGAATGGAAGAAATTTAAAGAATATTTAACTAAATACGTTAAGATAATTTAAATAGAAATACTTGCAAATATCAGATAGGCCTAGGTTTTAAATATGTGATGTTATAGAATAATATGTTTAAAGTTAAAATGAAAAGCAAGAAAGATGTTAATTGACTAAGTAAATTTTATGTGAAAATAGTTTTGGAAAACTGCTACAATGATTTATATGGAAACTCAGCCAGAGGGATTCAAGGAAGTCACTTAACAATGTTAACAAAAGTGGAATTATTACAGTTAAGATAAATGTTTCTTTGTTTGTTTGTTTGCTTGTTTTTTGATGTTCTTTTTCTATTTGTTTGTTATAAATTTGGAAAACTAATTAAAAAAAATTGAAAAAAATAAATACATTTGCATTTGTTGCCCTTCCTACTTTTGCCTCCAGCCCTGACTGACACTTGCATGTGGCCCCTGTGACTTTGCCAAGAAGGGAATGTGGCAATCAGCCTGGAAAAAAAATTCTCCACTCCATTTGCCTTTTGGCAAATGCTGAAGACTTAAACAAAAATGCTAGCTTTTATCTGACTTGAGCTTTACTCCTATTATTGTGATCAGCATTACTGGCCCCTATCATTTTAATGTCTCGTGTCCCGTGTCCCCCCCCCCCCCCCCAGTATTATATTTTAACTGCTGCAAGTTACTTTGGGGGCTTTTTAAGCCAGAAGGAAAGAGGACATGTTCTGGAAAACAAACCAACCAAGAAACAAATGCAACTCTCTTTGAAAGCCAAGTTTCTAGACTTACATTGAATTTTTGGGGGGGGGCGAGGGGCGTCTTCAGGACCACCAAACCAAAAGCAGGCAGTAGTGATTGAAGGCTTAGCTATGCAAGGGTGTTGAGGATGGGCACCTGTGTGCTGTATAAGCATCTATTCTTATCTTAACTACTTCTGCCTTCTTGGTTCATACATTCCTTCCTACACTATAGAGCAGGGGTCAGCAAACTTTTTCAGCAGGGGGCTGGTCCACTGTCCCTCGGACCTTGGGGGGGGCAGACTATATTGGGGGGGATAAACAAATTCCTATGCCCCACAAATAACCCAGATGCATTTTAAATAAAAGCACACATTCTACTCATGTAAAAACAGACTGATTCCCAGACCGTCTGCAGGCCGGATTTAGAAGGCGATTGGGAGTGCTCACTGGAAGGACAGATTGTGAAGCTGAGGCTCCAATACTTTGGCCACCTCATGAGAAGAGAAGACTCCCTGATGTTGGGAAAGATAGAGGGCACAAGGAGAAGGGGATGACAGAGGACAAGATGGTTGGACATCTCAAAGCTACCAGCATGAGTTTGACCAAATTGCGGAAGGCAATGGAAGACTGGAGTGCCTGGCATGCTCTGGTTCATGGGGTCACGAAGACTCGGACACGACTAAACGACTAAACAACAACAACAGTGCCGGATCCGGCCCCCGGGCCTTAGTTTGCCTACTCATGCTATATATAGACGCCGGTCATGCTCCCCTAGATCTGCCTTTAGGCTATCTATATTCTGGGTCTTGCACGGGGAGCTTTTCAGTGGAAAGTTAGGTTTATTATATGCATATGCAGCTTCCAGACTTGGGGGCACGATGCCGCTGAGAACCAGGTGTTAGGGAGCAACAAGATAGGGCTTCTGCTTTCAATGCCCTGCTTGTAGGCTTTCCAAAAGCATCTGGCTTGCCCAAGAGGAAAACAGGATGCTGCACTATGTGGACTTGGGGTCTGTTCCAGAGGGGCTCTTCTTTAGTTCTTAAGCCTCCCACTTAGAGATATGCAAGAACTTGTCAAGCAAGGCTGGTGTTTCACCTCGCTTTGAGCATTCACCCAAGAGGCAACATATGCAGAGGAGTTCAGAGGTGACAGATTGTACATGAGTGGAAACACCATCGTGCGAGAGAACATGCCCGTTCCTTTTGAACCCTCCACGCTACCTGCTAATCAGTGTCAGTATTCTGGAGCTGGGCAAGTAGCGTGTTTAATATTGCATGCTCATGCGCCACTGCTCCGCACAGAGCAGCACTGATGGAACACTGACCTTCTGTGTCTCATAGCAAGTACTCAGAAACGTGTTCATAATAAAGGTTCCCAAAGGCCAAGGACAGGATGGAGTGAAAAATGGAGCAGTCGCAAAACCAGCTCATGCCAAATTCAGGAAACTCCCCAAATTTTCCCTTTGGATTAAAGCAATAATGGCCTTGGAGAACAATTATCAAGAGTCCAGCTGCTTCAAAAGAAAACCCCCCTTCCTGCCATTAAAGGCTGTGCACTGTTCTGTGTAACGGAGGAGGAGGCTTGCTCAGAGGGGGGGGGAAATACTTCTCTATTATCTTCTGCAGCTTGCCCATTAATCTGCTTCTTGCGCCATGCAGCTGCACAAAGATACCTTTCTTGATGTACTGCCACGTCTACCCTAGTCTCAGCAGGTAATGCAGGATTTCATGATGGATTCTTAACAATCAAGGTAAAGACAACCACATTTGCTGCAGGAGCACCTAGGGCTGAGGTTTGATTCCTTCGCTCCTCGTCAAGGTTCTGCTTTAAGGCTGACAAGTCTGGGAGCCCTAAAAAGCAACTCCTCTCATGAGAGAAGAGTACAAGATAGGGTTTTCATGCAAGACTGCCTCTCCCGGCATCTCTTGAGCATAAATCACTATCTAGTCTGGCCTAATTTGGCAGCAAAGCTAACAAGTAGATGGTTTTCAGGGCAATTACTACTAAGCATGGTACTACTTAGCAAATGCCTCAAAGGCTGTGTACACACCATACATTTAAAGCACATGCCCCCCCCTTCCAAAGAATCCTGGGAATTGTCACTCTGTGAGCGGTAAATTGCAGTTCCCATGACTTTTGGGGAAGGGAGTGGGCTGGGTGTTTTATATGTATGGTGTGTATGCAGTCAGGATTTTTACTCTGGACTGGAGTTTATTCTGCATCAGAATGCATTGTTGGAAAATAACTTGGCACAAAGCTGGTGGAAGTGGCTGAAGACCTGATGGAATAGTCCAAAATGCCAGAGACAGCAATGAAAGTAAGCGTGGAGTCACCCGTGTGGTGTCTGTGGGCATAATGGTACCCTTATGGACATCCCCATGCATAAGCAAAGGCTCAGAGCCCCGCCGCTGCCCCGCCGCCCCGCTATGGGGTGGTGAGCGTGGTTCCCCTGTTCCCCTTTGAAAAGTAATAGAGCTGAAGGAGGATGTTGAAAGAGTGCCTCTTCCTACCACTTCCTCTTTCAGCTCTATGTACTTTTCAAGGCTCAGATCAAAACCTGAGCAGCTGAAGTGACCAAGAGGGTAGGTGGGCTATGGGAGGAATGTAGAGGACTGCAAGGAAGGAAACAGAATGGCTAGAGGGGAGAAGGTGGGGTGAGACAGGAGTCAGGAGGTAAACAGAGCAGAATGCCAGAGAGAGAAGGAGCAAGCAAACCCACACATGCAGATTGTTACAGTAATCTGGGTCCTCTTAAAATGGGGTATTTCTTTCCAACAGGTTCCCAACACCGCTGACCCAAACTCCCATCAAATATCACATCCATCTCCATTGACTTCTCTCGCTGCCATGACTTACTAACAGGACTTTTTGGCCTTAGGCTTTTCATTGACTGAGCATCCAAGCAGCAACTCAAGGTGTGTACCAAGTGATTAATTAAACAAGATGTGTATGCCCTGTGCAAGCCCATTTGCTATTTACCTGCCTGGATGCTACCAAGCCAGATGTTTCCTATCAAATTGCAGAAACCAATACCCTTAATCAAGCCTTAAACAGCAATGAAAGTTGTAATGTACACAATGACCTCAGAGTTAGAGGGGTGAAACCAGGGATGCAGAGTAGGAGACTGAATTGGCCTCAGGTTGATCCCCAGAGGGCCCTACGGTTAGCAAAGTCACTTAATTAAAGCAGATGGGAGTCCAGAGAGACAAGAAATCCTGCAAATCCTCTTTGCTGAGCAAAAGTGAACAAAAACTGAATAATTCAAGGAGAAAGGAACACACCGGTTTGTCTTTCTTACTTCAGGCCTTGTACGTAGCAGGAAGACATTCAATCAAGCCTATGGAGGACATTTCCTTCTACATAGTCAATCAGGGCATGTGCTTCTTCAGCAAAAGATCATTCTATTCTGCCCAGTTTCTAAGCAACACCTCTACCTGTCTCCTCTTGGTTAGTTGGTTTTAAACAACCATAACTAATCCTTAAACTGCAAACTGAATTACCCCTGCTTTCCCACTTCCAACACCTACCAGCTAGTAAGATCTGCAGCACCTAGTGAAGGCTCGGACTGGTACTGAAACAACATTTGACTTCTGCTCTTTTGGAGTCACCAGCCTAAGCCCTGCACACAGGTGTCCAGGATGCCACTGAATTCTGTATCCCTCACCTTGCAAGAACTTGGACTTCGGAAAAGAACAAAACTGTGTGTAACAACAGACAGCTACTAGATGAAACACTGGCAAAACATGATAGAGTTGCAGAAAGACATTTCATCTTCATTCATCAGTGAGCTTAGAGTTTTGGCAAAACGTGTAATTCGCTTTCATCGCTACCCGTGAAATAAAACCCAAACACTAATGAATAAAATATGTTGTCAAATTCACTGCAAGCTTGAGCAGCGAAGAGCTGCAAGAACAGCTGCGGATCTGAGGCAAGGGGGGCAAAGCTACCACGATGAAACATTCATGTATGTTTACTTAGGTCCCTTTGCCTTTTCCAGGTTGCCAGACCAGCGAACTAGTTCAACCACCTTGCAGTTTCTGTGTGCTCCTGATACATGGATGAAACAATTGCTATTACTGACAGGGAGGCAGGCAAGGTAGTGATAAGAAGACCATCTGTTATAGGAGATCCTCAATAACAGTTTCACAGAATCATACAACTGCTGATAGATTCGCCACTTATCACAGAGAAAACCTGTTAAATGCAATCCAATGAACCCATTGCGTGAATCAGCAGCATCCATCAGGGATTTCTACATGATTGTGCCTCTTGCGAAATTATGATGGACAAACCTTCAAGATAACAGCGAAAACCATAGGAACTAAACTCTTGCGTCATTGACGAACTGTCATCAGTTTCAAACTTCACTAGTCATGGTGGGAGATTCAGGGCAGACAAAATGAAGTACTTCTTCATACAGTGCAATAGTTAAACCTATAGGATTTGCTTCCACATGTGACCTATGTTGCCACCAACTTAGATGTCTTTAAAGCAGGATTAGACAAAGCCAGGTTGGCCCACCTGCCCTGCACCTGAGATCATAAATGACAACCCTGTGTCTAAAACATTGCATGCTCTGGTAATCAGCTGGTGATTGGGGCTTCCATGCACAGTGCTATTTTATTTTGTAAAAGCATATCCGAACCATTCCATATATATGAAATCTAAGCAGTGTACACTATGTGCAATTTAAAAACAATTCCATTAGAACAAAATACAACCTAAAACTCATATAACAACAGTATAAAAACGAATTGCAGCAATCAAAGCAAATAAAATAACAACACTTCAGGGGATTTACAAAGAGCAGGGTTCAATATTATGGTCCAAGGAAAATTATGCAAAATGATGCCAGGTGGTTGACAGGTATGTGTCCCCAGTTACCTGTCATACTTGGCCTATTGTGGGCCGGGGTGTGTGTGGAGCGGAATTGGACCTGCTGACTCAATCCAGTTCCTCACATCTGGAAGAGAGTGTTCTACCATGTGGCAAAAACCCATCCTCTGTGCATTTGAAATCTCTTTGTACCTCGGCCACTTTGCCCACAAAGGCTACATCCACACCATATATTTATAGCACTACTATACCACTTTGAACAGTCAAGGCTTCTCCCAAGAAATTCTGGGAACTGTCATTTGTTAAAGGGTGCTGAGAGTTGTTAGGAAACCTCTCTTGCTCTCACAGAGTTGCAGCATCCAGAGCTCCTTGGGAAGAGAGATAGATTGTTAAACCACCCTGTGGCACTGGGGGTGGGGGTAGGGGCTTCCTAATACCTCTCAGAATCCTTAAACTACATTTCCCAAAATTCTTTGGGGGAAGGCTTGGCTATTAAAGTAGCATCACTGTACTTTAAACATAAGATGTGGATGTAGATGAAACACTCCTTCCCAGCTCATCTCATTCTGGGCCATTATGTTACTTACTGCTTTCCTCAGCTGTCAAGATCAGAGGTTTTTACTCCCATGCTACTTTTTGTGAGGTGGCCTTTGAGCTCTGCGCCGGGAGATGAGTGTGGGCAGAGCATTAATTAGGCAGCAGAGATTGGCAGGTTAAGCTGACAGCAAAGCAGGAAGAAAAAAAGAGGGGAACGGATGGCTGAGAGTCGTCAGATAGAATAAGCCATCCCGTGGCTGACCGCTTGCTCCACACTGAACATATTATCATTGCCTGCTGACACTCTATAAACTCCGTTCTCCGTGCATTTTTAAAACAGAAATTACTTTGCTTGACAAGCTCAGGAGCCTCAAGGTAGCTCCTGCAGGGCTTTCAGAAAACATTTTTCACGCTCCCGCCCATGCATTCAGCTGACTGTTGCCTGTGCCATGAGAGGGAGGGGAGGAAACCAAAGAACATAGCCACCTCACATCAGCTACCAAGCAAAATTTTCCTTTCTCCTCTGCAAATTTATGGTGGATTGCCGGAAGAAATATCAACAACCTCGGATATGCAGATGACACAACCTTGATGGCAGAAAGTGAGGAGGAGTTAAAGAACCTTTTAATGAGGGTGAAAGAGGAGAGTGCAAAATATGGTCAACATCAAAAAAACTAAGATCATGGTCACTGGTCCCATCACCTCCTGGCAAACAGAAGGGGAAGAAATGGAGGCAGTGAGAGATTTTACTTTCTTGGGCTCCATGATCACTGCAGATGGTGACAGCAGTCACGAAATTAAAAGACGCCTGCTCCTTGGGAGAAAGGCGATGACAAACCTAGACAGTATCTTAAAAAGCAGAGACATCACCTTACCAACAAAGGTCCGTATAGTTAAAGCCATGGTTTTCCCAATAGTGATGTATGGAAGTGAGAGCTGGACCATAAAAAAGGCTGATCGCCGAAGAATTGATGCTTTTGAATTATGGTGCTGGAGGAGACTCTTGAGAGTCCCATGGACTGCAAGAAGATCAAACCTATCTATTCTTAAGGAAATCAGCCCTGAGTGCTCCCTGGAAGGACAGATCCTGAAGCTGAGGCTCCAATACTTTGGCCATCTCATGAAAAGAGAAGACTCCCTGAAAAAGACCCTGATGTTGGGAAAGATTGAGGGCACAAGGAGAAGGGGATGACAGAGGATGAGATGGTTGGACAGTGTTCTCAAAGCTACCAACATGAGTTTGACCAAACTGTGAGAGGCAGTGGAAGACAGGAGTGCCTGGTGTGCTCTGGTCCATGGTGTCACGAAGAGTCGGACATGACTAAACAACTAAACAACAACAAAGTCTGTCTATAGATCTGCGAACCACCTGAGATCTTGTGATGAAGAGCAGTATACAAATTTAATAAATAATAATAATAAAAACCATAGAATTGTAGAGTTGGAAGGGAATCTTTTGCCCAACGTGGGGCTTGAACACCCACAACCCTGAGAGCCATCCCAGCCCTTTCTCTTATGTTGACTGTCTTACATTGCCCAGCAAACCCTCACTATATGTACTGAGGCTATCAGAATCCTGTTCTCAGGGACTGATGAAACTGCCCCTTTCTCCTCAGTTTTGCAACGTTAAGTTCAGTTCCCCACAATTAATTTTTTTAAATTTTGTTAAAAAACAAAAACGGACAATACGCACAAAGTGAGACACAAACAATAACAACAGAATAATGTGAGTTTAACACAAGGAGCTTTCAATAATAAAGCCGAAAGAAAAAAGAAACAAATCAGGAGTTAACAAAACGAATACAATTATATAATTATAAACAGGATATAAAAACACAACAGAAAGGCTTTCATTTCTGGGTAAGTTTGCCTCCAGCTCTGAGCAGCGTTTAGCAGTAACAAGCAAGCAAGAGAAGCTTTGAGGAAACAGCCCCCATTCTCAACCATAAACTGGAGGCATAAAGAATTCATCTCAGAGATAAATTCTGAAAAAATGTGACAAGGTTTGACAAGCATTTGTAATTTGTATAGTTCCTGTTTTGGGAGCTCTGCCCTTAATAAATAGGCAGCTTGTTATGGACAGAATTTGTCCATATATTTTGTTGCTGTGAGCTATTTCTCGTAAGAAATGAAATCCCAACGGTTAACTGAAATTTGCCCAAATGATGAATCATAGATGATGTACTCATCCCTTTGATAGACTGAATTAATCAATGTGCCTTCCATTGCTAGAGCGCAATCCGTGCTGTCTTTGAGTCGGCGATGCTGGACAGGAAATTTTCTCTGGATATTTAACCACGAAGCCTGCAATCGTAAGCAGACTTGCTAGGAAGCTGACAGTGTATTGAATGGCCCCGTCTCCCACAGTACTGTCTGCACTGAGTGACAGCAGCTCTCTGGGGTTTCAGAAAGGGGTCTAACCCAGACCCACCTGGTGGCACCAGAGACTGAACTTTCCACATGCAAATTAGTTACTCTAACACTGAGCTATGGACTTTCCCATCACTCAGAAGCAGATCCCATTGAACTGCGAAGGCTTTCTTCCAGTTTACAGCACATAGCCTCGGACTACACACGAAACCAAGGTGACTAGACACACAAAAGCAGTTCCATTTGGGCAAACAGGGCATTGCTCCACCAAGCTCAGTATGCCCTCGGCCAGCTCCCACCTGCCTCCCTTCTTATTTACAACCAATATAGCAAGTAACACTACTCAACAGCCCTCTCCTCCTCCTTAGTCATAGAACTCAGCAGAGAGGAGTGTGGGGAGAAAACAAGAATTGGTTTGCTCTGCCTGCCTGCCATTGAGTCTGGCTCCACCTACCACTGGGCTCCTTGCCTTATTCCCTTCAAATCCTAGTGGGCATCAGCCACCACTTCAGGCACTAACTGTAGTCACACTGTCGAAGCTGTGAATGGCTGCACCTTCTACCATGTTCCGTGTTTTAAAGGTGGCAGCACAAAACACAACACGAGCAGAACTGGGGAACAAGAGATTTTTCTGATAGTCTGCGCAAGGACTGGGAAACCGAGGCTCTGCATTCAGCTGTCACATGTGGTGAGTTCCCATATGGTTTGCAGTATATCTCTGGGCAGAGGGGTATTCTTAGGCCCTGGACTGAACCCTGCCCACCTAGTTTTGTGGATGGATTTTAATGGGTAGGAGGGAATATATTAATTACAATTTATCCTTCCAGGAAGTCATGTGTGGGGGTTGAACAGAGTTTTAAAATCCCATCGTTGGCAGCAAAATTAAAAGCATGGGAATTAGGCTGCAAAGCCTCCTTTTGAGCAAATCCAGCTAATGAAGTAAGCTGGCTTCCCCCTTCTTACCCCACTTAACAAAGAGTCGGGCAACAACTTGTAAAGTAAGTTTAAAAATAAGATTTTCTTACTTTATAATCATGCATTGGATCACAGTAAGGAAGCAGGGGAAAAACTAAGCAGACAAAATACCAGCTTCAAGCATCTGCCTGTAAAAGAAAACAGAACGTGAGACAGAGAGGAGAAGAAGTGCTACATGTTCCTTTTCTCCAGGAAAGGAGGGGAAATGACATCACACAGAGCCCTCTCTATCAAATGTATTTCTATGATCTGAATATCTACCTATCAGCAATACAGCTCTGTGGACTTAGCCCCTTCTCATGCTAACCAGCAAAAGTACACATTTGTTAGGTTTGGCTGATAATCTCTGACTAGTCTGGTCACTGGGCTGCTCTAGATAGGAAGAACTACAAAAGGCTTCTTGCTTGGGCTGAGACTTTCCTGGGGAACTCTGATCCTGCATGGCTCTGGGTCTTTAGCTTTGACACCTGGCTCCCCTCTCACAGCTGCCTGAAGTCAAGACCTGACAAGGCAGCCTGGTTCGCATATCACCACCTATGACTTAGCACGAAGGGCAGGGAAACTTTGGGGCCCTGTGGGCCAGATCCTTATCTAGCCCCACCCCATGGGTCAACTTTTGACAGGTGGGCAAGACAGCCAACATACTTAATTTTGCACTTTCTGAAAAAATACACAAACTGAATACACAGCCCTCCTTCAAAATTTCACTTTTCTGGATTTTGCAAAACAGTTCTGTAGCCAAATGATATGTGCAAAAATGCATACAAAAATGGGGGGGGGGGGTACAAAATGCACGAAAAGACAGGGATTGGGAACCTGTGGCCCTCTGGATGTTGTTGAGCTACAACTTTCACCATCACTGACTAATGTGGGTGGGTCTGATTGGAGCTGGAGTCCTGTAATATTTCTAGCCACTGAGCCAAAAGCTCAATATGCTTTAGCTGCCATTTTGGGCTAGGCTGCCCTACCTGACTGCTTACCTCCTTTTCACCTGCTTCACTTCCCATCTCTGCCAGCTCTCATCCACCTGGTGTCAGCTCCACTTATACGCTCCATTTAACCTTTGCTCAGCAGCCTCAAGTCACACGTGCAGCAAAGGTCTCCTAAATGCCAGTCCAGGGCCCTGTGAGAGGCATGTTGCCGTCACATGGCCAGAAAGGACAAAGGAGAATGTCAAGTGTCTATCTCTACTGCCCCTGTATCTTGAGGTAGAGAGAGCAGATGTGAAAGGAGAAGGCATTCTATAGGAGGAAGAGATGGGAGAAAGTCTGACTGTGCTGTGAGGTTACCCTATAAGGTTGGAGTCAAAACTTGGGTGGGGTTGGAGGCAGGTGGAGTTACCTCCCTTTCTGCCCCACCATCCTAGTGCCACCAGGTAACCACAACCTGCTTGCCTTCTTGTTCACGCAGTGCCTTGTCAACTTCCACCTTCCTTCTCAGTCTCAGTGTTGCTCTAGTGGAAGTCAACAGGCAGGAGGAGGATGGGGGCAAACCAGAATTAGCTGGCTCTGTCTTGAAGCAGTTCTGGCTCCACATACTGTTGGTCTCCCTTCCTTGTGTCTCACCAGTCCCAATGGCCACCAGCCACCACTGGCCCTTTCTCTTCTTGAGATCCACATGAAATTAGGCCCAGGGCCTCATGAAACTGAGCTGAGAGCCACAGGGCACTCCTTGGGTGCTTCTGGACCAGTGTTTGTCATGGGGTGGGTGTTTCACATTTTTCAAGACCACTTCCACACTATTCATTTAATGCGGTATCAAACCACTTTAAACAGTCATGGCTTCCCTCAAAGTATCCTGGGGATTGTAGCTTGTTAAGAGCACTGAGAATTATTAGGAGAGCTACAATTCCCAGAATTCCCCCCTGGGAAGAGGGACTGGTTGATAAACCATGCTGGAAACCTGTATCTCTCTAAGGGAAATAGGGTCTCCAAAGACCACCCTTAACAAACTACATTTCTCAGGATTGTTTGGAGGAAGTACGACTATTTAAGGAGTATTGTAGTGCTTTAAATGTACAATACAGATGTGGCCCAAGACTCTACAAAGTGTCATGACCATCCAAGTGCCTGCCTGTATTCCTCCGCCCCTCACATTTTATTTAATCCAGATTTACTCTTCCCAGGGGAGAATCCAGTAATTATTATATTTCTTAACAACAGCAAGAATGATACAGTTGTCAACAACATGTCTGCAACATCTGAATGCAACATTGCGATATGGAGACCCTGTGTGAAAGAGCCCTTTTATGATGATGATGATGATGATGATGATGATGATGATGAATTAAATTTACAAGTTGCTTTTTTTGCTACAGCAACCCAATGTGATTTACAATATTTTAAGCATAAACAAACATGTACATACATTAAAACCAGCATCAAAAAAAGAGAAAAACCTAAAAGACAATTCTATTTTTTTTTAAAATTAAAGCATCCCACCTGTGCAAAAAGGCCATAGTTAAAAGCTAAATGCCTGATTAAAAAAATGAATGCATTTGCCAGGCACCTAAAAATTTATAACGATGGTGCCAGGTGAGCATCCCTCTTTAAGTGGTGCCATAGTTGATGTGCTGACACTGAGATTTTATTTTTATTTTATGGAGAAGGAAGGCTAAGTTTGCCTTAATTCTTGCCACTATTTTTCTCTTTCCCCCCTTTTTTTACAGTGTCGGTTCCTTAAAAAAGCCTCTAGAATTTATTTATGAGCACACAATTTGTCACAGTGCAGCTGCAAGCAGGATTTGTGATTGGGTTTTAAATTGGAGAAGTGGATGTTTTGTTGTCTTTTCCCTTCTCTGTGTTTGCAACCTTTATCAAGTTATCCCCCCCAGCCCACTGCCATTCTTTTAATATTGCATTCCCCAGCTGAATGGCTGAGGATGGTGTCGCTCTATTTGTGAGGATTTCACAGAAATCCTTTGAAGCAGCCTTGGCACCAATTAGGGCTTACAGTGGCTTTGGAGGCTTCTATAAATAACATTTCTGATGAGCCAGGTTCCTTTCTAATGCTTTGACACATTTTTCCCTTGGGTTGCTAGCATATATTTCACTCTGGGTTTTTACTCATTCCATTTACATGCCACCCTTCCTCTTAGAGGTTTCCCCTCCCATTTTATCTTCACAACAACCCTTTGAAGTAGGCCAGGTGTAAACTAGAGATTTACTGGGGGGGTTTTTCCACATCCTGCCTTTTTATTGTGAAGATTCCTGAATAGGGATGGAATGGATCTGTCTATTCAAAGTGTGTGTCACCTAAGGTCATTCCATCCTGTTTCTGCATAAATCTGTGATTTTTTTAATCTGCAAAAAAAAGTTTTAAATTATGCATTTTAAACGCATTTAAACATTTTACACATTTAAATAATGCATTTTAAAATGTATTTTCTCACAAAATACGCATATCTTAACACATTAATTCTAAAACTTTGCATTTTAAATATTTGCATTGTTGATTTATTCATTTTTGAGCCAATAAACTTGGCGTGTGAAATGTGGTTGATAAGCAGGGCAGCATACACATCATACATGTAAAGCACATATTTTCCCCAGAGAATCCTGGGAACTGCAGTTTGTTAAGGGTGCTGGGAATGATAAACTACAGTTCCCCTGATTCTCTGGGGGAAATCACATGCTTTAAACATATAGCTGACATTTCGACCTGCATATTAACTCAGTAAGTATGGATTAGGTCAGTTGTATCAGAATTCACAGCTGAATTCCACAAGCATGCCTATTCCCAAAAGAATAATCATAATAAATTGTAGTTTTATATTTGTTATTATTGTTAAAAGTGGAAACTTAAGGATCAACACCTTATGGATCGCCTCTCCCCATATGAACCCATACCCTGTGCTTGTCATCTGAGGCCCTTCTCTATATCCTCCATCCCACAGAGGTTCAGAGGGTGGCAACAAGAAAACGGGCCTTTTCTGTGGTGACTCCCCAATTGTGGAACGCTCTCCGCAGAGAGGCTCACCTGGTGCCTTCATTACATGTCTTTAGGCACCCGGCAAAAACATTCCTCTTTACCCAGGTCTTTGGCTATTACATAAACTATGGCCTGTAAAAGTGTTGGGGAGAGGATTGTTATCTTGATGACTAACTTATTATTAGGTTGTCTGTCAGGATGCTTTTAGAGGGACTCAGGTGGCGCTGTGGGTTAAACCACAGAGCCTAGGACTTGCCGATCAGAAGGTCGGCAGTTCGAATCCCCGTGATGGGGTGAGCTCCCATTGCTCAGTCCCTGCTCCTGCCAACCTAGCAGTTCGAAAGCATGTCAAAGCGCAAGTAGATCTTTGGACAAAGGGTGGTATATAAACTAAATTAACAACAACAACCTGCAACAAAATGTCCTAGCAGCGGTGCTGCTGCTTAAGGGTGCCAGCCCACCATGTCCACCTCCAGGATACTTTGAGCCAGGGGTGGAGAACTGCTTTCATACCAAGGGCCACATTCCTATCTGGGTAACCCTCCAGGGGCCACATCCAAGTGGTGGGTGGTGCCTGAGGAAAATGTGGACCAAGCAACAAATGTACGCTGCTTCCTCAGCACACCCTTCTCATCCCACACACTGCCTTTATTTTGCCTGGCTGGAGTGTGTACTTGAATTCTGACAATGCTTCTTGCTTGTCTGGACGGAAGACACAACGGGATGTGTGAGTGTGACTCAGCCTACTGCAGAAAGGTGAGATTTGCATCAGCTGCTTTACCTGCTTTCGCCTCTGGCCCCATGGATCCTGAAGAATCTGTGTTTTAGGATACCATTGTATTATACCACTTAGAAATCTTGTAACAGCTTTCTGCACCCACACAGAGCACGTTACAGCAGGCTGACTATTAACAGTCCATAGGCATCTTTAATTCCTTCAGTGTTTGTATTGGGAATGTAGAACTGAGAAGCTGGCTTTACTTAGGCATAGAAAGTGCTGATTACAGGTACTGCTTTAGAAGTGGACAAAAGTAAGTAGCTGCCTCAATGGGCTACGGAGGTCTACTTTCTTTTCAGAGTCTTAATCTTAGTCACACAGAACAGACGAGGCATGGCTCTGGCGCCTCAGCATCTAGCATCTTACAAATCCCTGGAAATGGTGTCTCCTGAAAAACCCAGAATTTCACGAAGTCATTTGTGGAAGAAAACACACAGATAAATAAAGAGAATATGGAACCCTCTCCTGGGTGGCATTGGGAATCCAAGACCTAGAATCAGAATTTTTGAATTGGAAAGGACTTTGAGGGTCATCAAGTCCAACCCCCTGCAGTGCAGGAATCTCAGCTAAAGCTTCCATGATGGATGGCCATTCAACCTCTGCTTAAAAACCTCCAAGGAAGGAGAGTCCAAAACCTCCTGAGGGAGACCATTCCACTGCCAAACTGCTCTTATTGTCAGAAAGTTTTTCCTGATGTTTAGTTAGGACCCACATGAAATAGAAGGAAGGGGTTGTGGTCAGTTGGCTTTATAAGACTTGGCAACTTCTCTCTCTCATTGTGAATCTTTGCACCTGGAATATAGCACACCTCCCGGGATATCCTGTTTCCTTTGCACACTACTGTCTCTGTCGCTCTCAATAGGGAGTCTACCTACCACATGTCTATTCTGGGGAGTAGAAGGAATTGTTCCATACACTGTGCTTTCCAAAGCAACATCAATGATTTCTATAGTCTGCAACTGCTGTCCTTGAGACTTTCCTTCTTGTCTATTGGTTCTTATCTGGGTATTATTGGGATAGGTTACAAAGTCAGGAACCTTATGGTTCAAGTTCTTCCTACTCCTTCCTTTGAACTTGCCTTCTCCAGACTGCAATTCCCTTTTTCTGAGATCATTTCCTTGAAAGGTAGCAAGTTGGTTATCATCCATGATCAGTAGTCTTAGATCTTGAAGGGATTAGGTGAAGAATGGAAAACGGCTCCTCCAAGTCCATCTCCTCCTGTCTTTTCCTCCTTTTGAGGTGGGGGCAGGAATCAGTTCTGAGCATTGTACCTTTCACAGTCACCTCAGGGTATTCTGAGGTCAGCGGCTGCTTTCCTAGCTCCTCTAGCCCAGAATCCAAGATGAGGGCATGGAATCGATTTTGCCGACTTAATAACACAGCATGGCTCCTGACAATCCCATTTCTGTGAGCCACATTCCTCCAGGGGTTCGTTTCTTGCAATGGGTGGTCTTCCTTCTCTGTAGGGGCGTCCTACCTATGTTGCTGTTCCAGCACAGTCCACTCATCTCTATCAAGAAACTCAGTATCTTGTCCTGTAGATTAAAGTTGTGTGCCTCAAGTTGCTGTACCTTCTTTTCCAGCAAGGCAACTCATTTTACACATTATCCAGCAGGAAGACAAACATGTCACAAAACCTAAAATATTGTTACACCCCACCCCAATCTCCACCAGCAGCACAAGATTCCAGATGTTTACCCAGGGTATGTGTTTCCTTTGGGGAATAAAGCACAGCAGAGACTGCAGTGTCTTCATGATGTATGGTTTTATTCTCACATATATACAACCTTAACTTAGATGGAGGGATTGCAGCGCATTCACATCCTATGAGGGTCTGGCTTCCCGCATAAGGGCAGCATTGGATGTGAAGGATAGCAAAAAGCCATCCTCTTTCTTCGTTCCTTCCTATCGTTCCCAATTCACATGGAGTTCTGCTCCTTCCTCTCCTTCTTTCTGCTGACTCCCAGGACCTCCTATCAACCATTCAAGGTTGAAACTTTAAACCCAACCTTTGCCTCTGCCCACTGCCACCCAACAAATAAGGGGCCCTACGTCCCCTTGCCCAACAGTCTGGCCCTCTGATGGTTTCCTTGATGGGCCATCACTAGTCTTTTTTAAAAAATATGCTTTTTATTAGTTTTCTTACTTAACAAACACACACAAGAAATTAACAAAAATAAAAAACATACATACATCCATAAATCCATATGTTCTTACAAAAGAACGTATGCCACCATGTTCTTAATTCCCAATTCCTTATCTTCCCCAACAGACTTCAGTCTTCCTCAATGCGGGTCTGTCTTATCTGTTTAATAAACTGCTTCTTTAATCATTTTGCCATTTCTTCTGTTATCTGAATACTATACTTATAATCCATATTGTGGTTTGCGAAAATTAATCAAAGCATGTCCAGGTTTTAAATATTCTTTTTAAATTTCCCACTTCTTTTTGAACTTTTGGTTTGGCTGTCTCCTAATTGTCTTCGCCATTTTTGCCAGTTTGAGATATTCAAATAATTTACTCTGCCTTTCCTCTTTTGTTGGTAATAATTCTCCTTTCCAATTTCTGGCAATTAGCCTTTGTCCCCTGCTAATGGGCCATCCAGCTAGCTCTGCCTCTTGGCTGGTTACCATAACAAAATCCAAGGGGGGTTCTGTGTTTAGCAAAGTTGAATCAAACCATTATTTCTGTTACTAAATCATAACACATTTAGGCAAAATCTACCACCACCCCAATCATCACAGTAAGGTAAAAAGGTATAGCACCCCCCGGATTGTTAAGTCCAGTCAAAGACAACAATGGGATTGCAGTGCTCATCTTGCTTTTCAGGCCAAGGGAGCTGGCGTTTGTCCACAGACAGATTTCCAGGTCATGTGGCCAGCATGACTAAACTAAGGTTACCAGATTTTTTTCAATGAATCCGGGGACACTTTTCAACTTCAATGGATTTTGCATGGGGACTGATCTGTAAATCCGGGGACTGTCCCCTGGAAACGGGGTAACCTTAGACTAAACCGCTTCTGGTGCAACGGGACACTGTGACGGAAACCAGAGCGCAAGGAAACGCCGTTTACCTTCTCACCGCAGTGGTACCTATTTATCTACTTGCACTGGTATGCTTTCGAACTGCTAGGTTGGCAGGAGCTGGGACAGAGCAACAAAAGCTCACCCCATCGCGGGGATTCGAACCAGCGGCCTTCTGATTGGCAAGCCCAAGAGGTTCAATGGTTTAGACCACAGTGCCACCCGTGTCCCTTTTAATCATCACAGTATCATACCTAGAGAGCATACTGACCAGTCTGGGCAAAGGGAAGAGTGCTGCACTGATGCAATTTTTAAAGCATCCCCTGAATGAATTTCTGCTCAATTTATCCTCAAGGATGATGGGAAGTGGCAGCTGACTTTTTGCCCTTACTTTGTACATCTGGTTCTGGAGACAGACAGACACACAAAACACAGTGTCTCAGAGGGGGCAATAGCTGGCTATCAATGCACACAACAGAATTACAATACAGCAAGTAAAAGAAGCAAACTCAGCCAGAAGCAAGGATCATTCCAAGGGTAGGTTTGTGTTGGAAAGACAAGGTGTCATTTGATTCAGAAAAAAGGGAATGTTTGTATGATGTCATTTTCCGCACTGCGAAGGAAGTGTGTCCCTCTGCCCCACCTGAGTAACACAACGGTACTGCAAATGGGCCTAGTTAGGTACCCAGTGAACACAGTTTCACAAATATAATGCCACCAAATAGTACAAACCCAGACAAGTATTTATCAATAAAGATTTAAGAAATTGTTCAGAAATAAACTTTTGGGTACATTAGCATGTGGTGTAATGGTTAGTGTGTCAAATTGGGACCTGGGAGACCAGGGTTCATATTCCCACTCAGCCATGAAACTCACAGGGTGACCCTGAGCCAGTGATTGTCCCTCATTCTAGCTTACATCACAGGAGAGGATAAAGCAGGGAAGGGTAAACAATAAATGTCACCTTGAGCTCATTGGATGTAAATGTAATAATTACACAAAATTACATGGGCATAGTATTCTAAAAGTTAGCTTTGGCAAGCAGCACTGAAATATTTATGTGCTGAAAGGCACCCTGGAAGACCCCATTACTAGACACGTTGTCATAATGAGATTTATATGCTTTGCGCGCACACACACCCCGCCCCCATTTCTCCACGAGGCAGGCTACCGTTGGTCAAACATTTGCAAGGCAGTGAGCATCTGATCTTTGTGCAGGAGCATTTGATTAGCTCGAGAACCGACTAGGGAAGCACATGGCATTTCACACGTAACAAGTGCAATCAGTCCATCTGCCAAGAACCATTCACGGCCTACCTATGGGAAGGTAATTGTGGACGTGCACTCTTGCCATCTTGGGGCCGCATTAATTATTGATTCCTGGAGAGCAAAAGTTCAGGAGAAAAACTGCACAGGAATCAATCTTTCCTTTCTTGCTGATGACACCAGAGACACAGTGTGCTGGTCCCGGGGGGAAGGTTACCGTTGGCGTAGTCAAAGTCCGGTCCTGGGTCACTGGTCTGGAAACAGTTCTCAAGGAGCGAGGTGAGGTCCGAAGCAGGAAGCCGGGTGGGGACAGGAACACTGGGGGAACAGGACTGGATGCTGGCCGAAACAGCTCATTGACGACGTTGCTCCCACAACCTGGGACCGGGCTGACTGGCCTTGTATCTTCTCTGAGGCCAGGGGCGGTCCCGGCCCCCAGGAGACCCGCCTCTCCTGGCCTTAAGGCGAGCACTCCTCCTGGGAGAAACCAGTTCCCTTCGCCTCTCTGCCCTGAACCTCTGCAGTTCAGGAGAGGCCGAAGGGTTACTGTGCCCAGGGGGAGACTCACCTGTAGGCACTGAGTCCTCAACCACCTCCGGAGCCAGAGTGGATTCACCTGGTGCCTGCTCCTGAGGATCTGGCACAGGTGCAGGCGCTTCAGAATCAAGGCCCTGCCCCAGTTCAGCCGGCCCTGGAGGCGGGGACTCCTGTGCAGGCTGGGATTCCTCCGGTTCAGCCCCTGAATCGGAATCCCAGGCCATCACACACAGAAGCAGATGCTATCCATAAAAGGGGGTGAAGAAGAGAGGGCTGAAGTGTGGACCCCAGGGCTTGTGTCAGAACCTGGCATCCTTGGACTGCTGCCAGGGTCCCAGCAACCTAGCAGAGCCTACTGCTGACACCTGACCAGAACATCCCTCAATTTCCCTCCAAGTCTGATGCACTGAGCAGTGCTTGGCAGCTATTTAAATATCCTACAATGTCCCTGGTATAGCATTAGCCTGCGGAATTGTGTGAAAATAAAATGAGGTCCGATTTCTTCCCAGAGCATTGAGGCTGGCTGGCTGCCGCCACTACTACAAGGAAAGTAAGCCCAACAAGACCCTAGCATTTTGCCCAGTGCCTTCTCAAACCTAAGGCCAGTCCTGGTGAAAGGGGAAGAGCTTTAGCTCAGAGGTGCATGCAGAAGGTCTCAGATTCCATCCCTGGCACCTCTAGGTAGGGCTGGGAAAGACTCCTTGCCTGAAACCCTCCCAGTGAGTGTAGACCAATGGTCCATCTAGCTCAGTATTCCTATGCTGCTTGTTTTCCTATGTGTAGCCAACTAAGACAGGCTGTTCTCAGGAGACCCGTCAATATGGAGCACAGCTACAATGTGGATGATCCTTGGTCCCTCCTCAAACCTAGGATTTGATAACACAACCTGTTAGGACTCTTGACAGTTCAGGTCAAGGGTGGCATTAGCAGTTGGCATGGTTGGGGCCTACAGAAAGACAGAACACCAGGGCTCCCAGTTGCCATGGTAATAAGGGGGAGGTGGAATATTAGCTGCCAATCAGCCATTTTACTCTTTCCTTTTGGGCCAAGTCCTCATTGAGGGATTATGGAAACAGCAACTGTAGCAACCACCACTCACCCTCTCCCTTAGGATCAATCTCCACCAAAAGAAGAGCTCTTCCTCCTCACTGTTGCCTCCACCATTGACAGAGACTGGGCCCACTGGTACTAAATCAGGGACAGGGAGCCTGTGGTTCTCCAGAAGTTGTTGGATTCCATCATCCCTGGTCAATGGCCTTGGTGACCGGGTTGGTAGACGCTGGTGTCCAACTACATCTGAGGCCACATTTCCCATCCTGTACTAAATGGATGGGGAAGATGAAGCCTGACTGATAATCTGGTGCTTGAGGGCCCATATAAACCTGGACCCAGATGTGGTTCAGTCTAATATCTCAGGGTCTGAGCAAAAAATGTTTTTGTGGCAACCTCCTGGGCTAAGCTAGCCATGCTGCAAAGCACATCATTAGGAAGCTTGTCATGGTGTTGTTATTTTTAATTAAGGGCAGCTATTAATGCATTGTGGCACACAGAAACGGGAAATTTAGCCTTTTCCTCTGAAGATATCCACCCCCACAACATGCTGCTATTCGGCCTGGGGAGAAAGAACGGAACCAAGGGAGGGAAAGGTAGAAACAATTAGAGCTCTTTCCCTATGCATTGTGCTCCTGAAGAAAATCTGCCTCCCATACACACACAAATACATCCAGAATGCATGCTATTTATGAGACGCCCGGATGGGCTTCCCGATGGCATGCTTAACATTACATCTCATTTGACCCCACAGGTCCCCACTCCAATACACAGGTCTAGTACTGAAGTCTCATGGAAAACACCAGACCCCTGTTCCTGTCCACACTGGATATCAAAGGCTAAAGAGTTCTGCATATCTTGTGTCTCACAGGAGCACGCCAGGGGACAGAGACAGCAGCACTGCCAGCCCTCTAGCTCTTGTGTTCAAAATATCGTTCCTATATACTTCTCGAAGTCTTTTCTTTTTGTGTTCACCGTGTCCTATTCCCATGCAGGAATGTCTCACCCAGTGGAGCAGAACCTCAGCTACAGCCTTCAGGCAGCAGAATCGCTGCTGGATGGGAAGGGGGGGAAGTGGGAAGCAGCTATAAGTCTGGGGCTGCCTGGTGCATTGATTCCACCAGTGCATTCATGAAACCCAGAACTTGCCAATCACTCATTCCCCTCCCTCCCCAATAAACACCAGCAGTGCTGCTGCTGGGAGACAATTGCTGGGGCTTTCCCCCACCCTCAAACTCAGACAAGTTGATCCTATTCCAAAGCAAGTATGTTTAGGACTGCAGCCTCAAAACTAGCAGATGCATAGGTTTTAATAACCTTTTTTCCATTATTGTTTATTTTGCTTCTGTATTGGCAGCATTGTCAAAGCCAGGGCTGGGTTATAAAAATCACAGCCTGTCTGATAATATTGGTCCCAGTCAAAATGGTATTGATCTCTACAGCGCCAGAAAAGATAAATCAAATACAGGGCCAATTACAGATATTGTCAACTGGTCCGCAATCTTTCAACATGCTGCCTGAATGGAACCTACAGACCATCAGTAGTACAGAGAACACTATAGATCTCCACTGTAGGCTAAGTTGACCTGAACCTGTTACCTCTGGCTGGGAAGCTGAGCTGATCAGCCTGATAGACTTGTTAGGAGAAAATTAATTGGCAATCTCATCTCCCCATCGTAATAGGTTTTTTCACAATGTTTTTCAAAATGCTACTCTGTGCTGTAATTACACCTCATTAAAAAAAAAAAAAGAGGACATTCCAACAGATAGATTTTAAATTCCCAACAGCCTCAGGCAACATGGCCTGGCAATGCTAATTCCAACAATAATTAGATTTTAAACTTCGTACTTGCCAGCTTCTTCCTGACTAACTGGGAATGTACAACAGGGTTTGAGGACCAACACCCCCCATGGAAAGAAGCCATCAACTTGCCCCATTCTGGCCAGCAGGCTGCATCCTTATCTTCCTGTTTTGCTGGAAGGACCACAACTGGGCAGAACCACCCATCTGTTGATCCCCTGATGTCAGGTGATGTTGCGCTTTGAAGCCCCAAACATCTAGACTTCAAAGTGCAGCGGGGGGGGGGGGTTCAAACAGCAGCACAGGGCTGTTTACAAAAGAGCTTTCAAGCAGCCCCACACTGATTTTTGAACCTCCAGTTTTCAGAGTTTCAAGGTAGTGAGAGTGTGCCTTGCTTCAGCAAAGCAACAAACAGGAGCTCATTTTAAGCTCTAGGTTGTTCCTTTGAAGCTGCACCATTTTCTGCCCCACAGTTGACATCATGTATTATGTCAGATGTAGAATAGATGGGTGTGGATTGCTGAAAATGGCCTTGCGAGCAAGTTTGGCCTATAGGCCAGTGATTCTTGTGTGCACAAGTTTGGCCTATAGGCCAGTGATTCCCCAAGTTGGATGAAAGAGTGTACATTTCTTGGTTTATACAGATCAACTCTTGTGCACACAGAATGCACACGTTGAATGTGACGTGTGAATAACTACAAGTGTACATTTCTGTGTACACAAGTGCACAGACTGTACACTCACTGAATGCGGTATGTGAAAACCCAATACACTTCTTAAATAGCTGAGAACAAGGTGACCTTTATTCAGTCTCCTGCCTTTCTTTCAACACTGAATTCACATGGGGGGGGGGGGAGAAATCCTTATAGTCCTTTAGCACTACGGTGTTAGAATAGAACATATATTTCTAATCAAGGTTCCACAAGTGCTAGTCCAAAATATCAGATTGCTTCTTCTCCAAAGAAGCCTCTTGAGGGTGTGGGGGTTTTTTTGCCACTTGTCAAGTACTATCCTCCCTTTACAGGATGAATTCCTCTCACTCTCTGGAGTACCCAGCAATTCCCAGCATACAGTCTTATGCATAAATATTGGTTTTCCTCTTTCCATTTTCATGATGCTCCAAACTATTCCACCCAAAGTGCCATATTTACTTATCTGTTCATATCCTAACATGAAATGCTGTGACCTTGAGTTGTTATTTCGGATATACTGCAGCCTTCAGCTTCTCCACATTGGATGGTGCATCTCATTTCATAGCAGCCCAAATGAAGTTGTGTGAGGAAAGGGCAGCAGTTTGCTTGTGGCAGGGAAGAGATACTTGGTGTTTCCAAAGTGCTTTTGTTCAGCTCTTGCGTGGGTGGTTCCATAATGGTATTTTTTGTGTGCAATCAGCAAATCACACAATGCCCCCCATGTTCCGCTCCCTCCCCATCTAATATGGATTTACTATTTCAAGGGAGAATCCAGTAAGATTTTTATTATTATTATTATTTTTAAAAAACCTGCTGCCAACAACCTGTTTGCAATATCTCAATAAGCTTTTTTACAGCACCCTATGAGACTCATACTTTACAGGCATGCAACATAAATTCAGGTTCTGGATTTATGGCCCCTTCCCAAAAACTGAATTTTGGACTTTGAGTGAATTGTGAAAGTTAAGCCAATTTGGTTCAGGAGGAGCCAAACTGAAGCTCTTTCGCCTGAGCACCAAAAGTACTTAGTTCCTTTCTGGCCTCTGGCCCATGTATTAACGTATTAAGCTTAATAGTATCTAAAAAGGCTAGAACACTGTTGTTTTTCTTTTTGAGGAAATCTAAGACTATTTGGATTTAAAGTCTGCACAGTGGGATTATAAAACTCCCAGGTTTTTGCTGGTGGAGTCCCAGCAGGCATTCTGAGATGCTTCCCATTCCTTAATTCTGTTGACTGTACCGCCATGGGACTACTATAGTGTAACCTCATTTTCTGTATGCTTTAATGACGGGGCATCTGTTCTGGAGCTTCTTGCCAGATGCTTCCACAATACACACTAGCAGAGGTGTTTACGAACAGAGGCCTTGTCTAGACACTTGCCATAAAAGTTCATGAGCACATCCTCTCACAAGTCAACTCCCCGTCCAGCCTGAGCCATCAACTGACAAATTAAAAAAAAAAAAAGCTGTGTTAAAGCTCCATAAAGTTAATTGGATCCCACCTCTTTTTAAGTACCTGAAGCAGGCATTTGAGTGAGATTTAATTAATAGACAAAAAGATGCGCTGGATGGGAAAGCAAGAGCAAAGCAGTGAGGAGCCAAATTCTGGAAAGAAGCCTTGATTTCCTGTAGGGAAGGAGCCAGACAGAACTAAGGACAAGGCTCATAAAAGTCACTAAGGGATCTTGCAGAAAAAAGGAGAGAAAGCAGCAATCTCCAACACGGTCCCATGGGTACAGTGGCACCCACAAAGCTTCCGGGCTTCCCCTCACACCCAGCAACTCATTGCCCCTTTGGTCATAAAGCGCTATGTACGTTTTCCCCTCAAAAAGTACATAGAACTAGGAGTTAAATATGTGAAATTATATAATACTATGGATAGAAGTCAAAATGAAAAGAAAGAAAGGTGTTAGGACGAAAGAAGGGATGTTAGAAGAAAGAAGGGACACGGGTGGCACTGTGGGTTAAACCACAGAGCCTAGGGCTTGCCGATCGGAAGGTCGGAGGTTTGAATCCCCGCGACGGGGTGAGCTCCTGTTGCTCGGTTCCTACTCCTGCCAACCTAGCAGTTCAAAGTGCAAGTAGATAAGTAGGTACCGCTCCGGCGAGAAGGTAAAGGGCGTTTCCGTGCGCTGCTCTGGTTCGCCAGAAGCGGCTTAGTCATGCTGGCCACATGACCCGGAAGCTGTACGCCGGCTCCCTCAGCCAATAAAGCGAGATGAGCGCGCAACCCCAGAGTCGGCCATGACTGGACCTAATGGTCAGGGGTCCCTTTACCTTTATGGATAGAAGTCAAAATGAAAAGAAAGAAAGATTTAATTGAAACAAGTAAATCTTATATGAAAATAGTGTTGGAAAACTGCTACAATGAGCCATATGGAAACTCAGCTAGGGGGATTCAAGGAAGTCATTCAATAATGATAACTAAACGGGGATTATAACAGTTAGGATAAATGTTTGTTTGTTTGTTGATATTGTAATGTTTTTCTTGTTTGTTGTTATGTTTGTTACAAATTTGGAAAATCAATTAAAAAATGGGGGGAAAAGAAAAGTACATAGAACTGAAGGAGGAAGTTGAAAGAGTGGTGCCCTTACCAACTTCCTATTTTACTTATATGTGGTTTTTTCAACGTTCAGATGAATTATACCAGATATGACTTTAACACAGATTCCTTGGAAAGGAGAAATGAATATGAATTCTCTCGGTCTCTCAGGAAGGGGATGGGTGATCCAGAAAAATGACTCTTCCCCATGACATTATCCATTTCCTGGATCACCGTGGTCTCATGTTGTTGTTTACCATGCCTGGGAAAGACAAAGGCATGATACAGGGCCCAATATGTTCCCAGAACAATAGAATTGCAGAGTTGGAAGGGACCCTGGAGGCCATCTAGCTCAACCCCCTGCAATGCAGGAACACGAAGGTAGCCCATGAGGGAATCGAACCTGTGCTCTTGGCATTAGCAGCACCATGCTGTAACCAACTGAACTAGCTACAAGGATAATAGAGATTTTGGGTTGTGAAAAAGGCATGAGGGGAATTTCGCCAGCAACTCCCCCCAGTTCTGTTGCCTGGACAAAAGTTGCAGCCCAAGGTGGCTGACATAAAAAATATATTATGACAATTACTGTTAAGTTGTGGGTGAACATATCAGACGACACAGCAATTCTTCAAACAGCTCTTGTTTATTCACAGGCCAGAACAGAACTGAACTGAAGGGTTCAGCCAGCCTGCCTATATAGAGCTCCAGAACTACGTAATTGTAACAACTTTCTAAAACTATCCAATCACTGAACGTCACTTTCGATCCCTTATTTGCATAACTATCTACAGTATCCCCCTGATGGCCCAGGGTGAGAACTTTAGTACATAACAATTACGTCTACAGATCTCATCGCAGATTGCTGGCTTCGCATCTGTTTCAGCCCCTGATGGGCATCCTGATGGGCAGGACAGAAAACGGATGAAGCCTTGTGGAATTAAGGGAATCAACTACACTTCCCAAATGCATCCCCCCTCCTTAAACAGTTGCTGCAGAGTTATGCCTGGCAGTTGGGTTTATACTATGCATTTTGATTTCAATGTGTATGGAAATGTCGCCACCTTCTGCATGCTAACTGTAATGACTGGCAAAATGAGGAAGAGAAAACAGGGCAGGGTGGTAAATGACAGAGCTATAGATGTGCTGGAGAGAGCTTTTTTCCTCCCAGTGGGCCAGATCCTTATCTGCTCTACCCCTCACGTGGCCAAATTCGGCAGGCGGGCAGGGCTGCCCATGACATCAAGTGACAAGCCTCTTTGAAAGTGCATTTCCAGCACACCTTCAAAAAAGCTTGCTCCAGGGTTGTAAAGGTGTTTACATTGAAGCTGCTGTTAAAACAGTTTTCTTTCCCCTTCAGGGAAAAATGCAGTGGTTTCTCCAGGATCCTTTGTGATCTAGGCTCCCATGGCCCATCAGCTGACAGTCAGGGGGAGAAGAACTTACTGCAACAAATGAACAACTGGGAGCTCACTTTTAAGCTCCCGATAGCTCCTTTGAAGCCACGTGAGGCAGGTAGGCTTGCCGAAATGGCAAGTGGGCCAATTTGGACAGCTGGTGAGCCCAAGTTGGCCCATGGCCCAGAGGCTCCCCATCCTTTCTGTACATGAAATTGTTGTTGGCATCTGTCTGTCTCAAGACACAATGGAATGTGCCTCCAGAGGTGAAGCCAAACCGCTGTGCTAGCAGCAGCTAAGTGACTTCCCTGGGGTGCAAGACTGGGCAGTGTGCATGGAGGTCCTGGGCTGCCCAGACAACAAGACCCCCCTCTCGGTCTCACTGATGTGGTCCAAAGGAAAGGAAAACAATCCATTTGGCACCAGCTTGGCTGCAGGAGTTGCTGGAAGGAGGCTTACAAGGCGCTATCCAACCGCCTTAGGGACTCCACTCCAGATTTGTGTAGCCTTTTCTTCTCCTGAAGATATCCTACAAGACAGCAGAGGTTTAGGATCAGAGTTGTCCTACTCCTAGATGGGTTCCCTTCCCAGGTTGACGAGCCCCACCTGCCCCTCAATTCTCTCTATGGCATTTGCAGTAACTGCCTTCTTGACCACTGAACCCACTATTGGTCTCATCCACTCAGTTCACCAGAGCCTATCTTCGCATGCAAGTGAAGCCCCTAATTCACCTTATGAGGCTGCAGCAATTGGGACTTTTGGTTTAGACAAAAGGTGAACAAGAGGTGACATAATAGATGTTTATACAATTCTGCATGGCATGGAGAAAACAGATAGGTAAAAGTTTTTGTCCCTCTCCCATAACACTAGACCAGGGGTCTGCAACCTTTAAGACAAAAAGAGCCACTTGGACCCGTTTCCGAAGAAAAACAAACTGGGAGCCGCAAAACTCGTCATTATAAAAATAACTTTTTGTCACTTTTTTAAATTATTTCTTTGTTTGACCCCTCAGAATTACTCCTCCTCATAGAAATAAACGTTAAATTAACAAGTTACCTTTTTGTGTGTGTGTGTTCTTCACTCGCCTTCAAAACAGTGACCAGCATACATGCCCCCTTTCAATGCAGTGACCAGCGTACATGCCCCTTACAATGTAGCGGGCGGGCAGGAAGGTGACGTCGGGACGGTGCGTGACTAACGCACGCACTGCCCCCATGCGACGTCACAGCCAGTACAGCGCCCGCCACAGTGGGGAGTGTCGGGGCGCACAATGCGCCTCCTCCCCTTGCTAGTATCCGCCCCGGAGCCGTGGCAAAGGTGTAAAAGAGCCACATGCGGCTCCGGAGCCGCAGGTTGCCGACCCCTGCACTAGAACAACCAATGAAAACTGAACGCAGGAAGATTCAGGAAAGATAAATGCAAGTACTTCTTCACGTAGTGCATACTTAAACTATGGAACTCACCTCCACAAGAGGCTGTGATAGCAACCAAGTTGGATTGCTTTAAACAGGCATTGGACAAATTAATGGGGCTACTAGCCACAATGTCTATATTCTACCTCTACTGCCAGAAGCAACACACCACTGAATACAAGCTGCTGAGAATCCGAGTTGAGTAGTGTGCTGTTGTGCTTATGTACTGTTTGCAAGCATCTGGTTGACCACTGTGAGAACAGGATGCTAGACTAGAAGGGCCATCAGCCTGATCTAGCAGGCTCTCCTCACATTCTTGTCTTGGGAAGTGTAGAATGGATTAGGTTAGATTGCCTTTAAATGCGAACTGGATCCAATTTCTCCCCATTCCTATTCATAAGGCAATGGTGAAGATTAACTGACTGAATAATGTCCTGTGTGCACGCTCTGCAGAACATTTGAAGTCACCTGCAACATGCAGGAATTCCATAACTAGCCAGCTTATGGGCCAAAGAAGCAAACCCTTACAGCAGCAAGCTGAGAACGCCACACAGTGGATATTGTTTCTGTGCTTGATGAAACACAGAGGAACTTCATTCATATTCATGGAGCCCTAATCTCCAGGGTCGCTCAAGCGAGCAGATGAAACTGAAATTTACAGCACTGGCTGCCACCAGTGATAGAGCGCCTGGGTTAGCCATCACCAGCTCTAATTAAACAGGAAATTAAAAATGTTAACTCTGGCAGTAGCCTCTGGAGGGTTCTTCAGGCATAAATTGTACCTCCTACAAGTTAAAGGATGCAAAAGAGGAAGCCATTAGGTGCAGAATATCAGATGTGTCCCTGTACATAGCCCAGCATGTGGTTCAAGTGGAATTTAACACATTTTGGTGATCCTCTGAGATTTGCTTGCCCATCCACCCCCCTTTCCAGGCAACTGTGTATGTGACAGGCAGGCAGGCTCAAACGTCACATAGCAGATCTATTATCATGACTTGCTTTAAAAAGTGAAATGCAGGTGAGGTGAGAGCGGCTGCAAATTTTAAGTCAAAAGTAACAGTGGGAGAGGGGGTGTTTAAGCCTGTCCCCCATGGGCTGCTTCTGTAATCATATGAATTGGATCAGGCCAAATGCTAATCCAGCATTGTGCTGTCTCAATAGCCTATGAGAAGCCCGCAAACAGAACATGAATGCAACAGCCCCCAACGAATACTGCTTCTGGCAGTGGAGTTCGAGTATAATCATTGTGGCTAGTAGCCACAGGTAGCCTCAGCCTCAACAAATTTGTCTGAGCTTCATTTAATACCACCCACACCAATAAAGGTAAAGGGACCCCTGACCATTAGGTCCAGTCGTGACCGACTCTGGCGTTGCGGCACTCATCTCGCTTTATTGGCTGAGGGAGCCGGCGTACAGCTTCCGGGTCATGTGGTCAGCATGACTAAGCCGCTTCTGGCGAACCAGAGCAGCGCATGGAAACGCCATTTACCTTCCCGCTGGAGCTGTACCTATTTATCTACTTGCCCTTTGACGTGCTTTCGAACTGCTAGGTTGGCAGGAACAGGGACCGAGCAATGGGAGCTCACCCCACTGCGGGGATTCGAACCGCCGACCTTCTGATCAGCAAGTCCTAGGCTCTGTGGTTTAACCCACAGCGCCACCTGTGTCCCTACCCACACCAATACCTCACAATAATTTTAAAAGTAAACCATAAGTATGGTGTGGGCAATCCAGATCAGGGCACTAGAGGAAGGGTAGGGAGTTTCAACTTTTAAGGCCAGAGGGAGCTTCTCCATAAAGGAGTCATATAGGGAAGTTTTTAATGTTTTTAAAGTTTAATGCTCTATAATGTTTTTGTATATACTGGAAGCCACCCAGAGCAGCTGCTGAAGCAACCGTCAGATGGGTGGGGTACAAATAACAGAATCATCATCATCAGTGGGGGCCCTTGTTAAGATCACTGCTTCTGGTGTCTCTGTGCAGCCTCTTAGAGGTGCAGGATTTGCAAGACCTGTCTTTTATTTCACACAATCATAGAATTGTAGAGTTGAAAGGGACCACAAGGGTCATCTAGTGCAGTGTTTTTCAACCTTTTTTGGGCAAAGGCACACTTGTTTCATGAAAAAAATCACGAGGCACACCACCATTAGAAAATGTTAAAAAATTTAACTCTGTGCCTATATTGACTATATATAAAGTAATTCTCTTGAATAGGAATCAAATAAACACAAAGAAAGTATTTTATAATTACTTTATTATGAAATAGTAAGTAAACAGAAATATGAAAAATTATAAAATACTTTATTCAGTGTGCAACCTGGAATAGGCATGGCACAAGTGATGGAATAGGCATGGCACAGGTGATGGAATAGGCATGGCACAGATGGTGTAGGCATGAGGAGGAGGAGGACTGACAGGAGGACTCACTTACCGGGCTGCTGCTGCTGCATAGGGCTGGACTCACTTGTCTCTCTTCCGAGACCCGACTGTGACCGACTGGTTCCAGATGACCTCCTCACCTCACGCTGCACCTGCGGCCTGGTCTGGATCCGGATGTGGTCTCTCTGCAGTGCCGACTCCCGCCGAGTCCTGGTCTCCGTCCGTCTCCTCCTGCTCCGGTCCTCCTGGTGACTCGAGTCGCGACATCTTCTTCTCTCCGCTGCTGCGCACACTGTGCTCGGGCGGGAAGGAAGTCGGAAGATGATGTCCTATTGTGATAGGTCCAGGCTGGAGTCTGGACCAATCACAGCCCAGACATCAGAAAAGTGGAGGGTGTCCCCCTGAGGAGCGCCAATCGGCGCCCCTGCTGGCCGAGGGTCAAACCCCCCCCATACCCAGGACACAGTCCGGCGCCTGCCTAGTGGGTGAAAATTTGAATATATATTTTTTTAATCTTTCGAATTTTTCAATTTTTCCCATGGCACACCAGGCAACATCTCGCGGCACACTCCTGCAATACAGGAATCTTTTTGCCCAATGTGGGGCTCAAACCCACAACCCTAAGATTAAGAATCTCATGCTCTTATCAAGTGAACTATTCCAGAAAGTGGGTGAGGGGAGGTTTAAACAGGTGCTTATTGGTTGTGTCTGTTGTAATCTGTTTTAGTGTTTATATTGTGTTTCTAAGGTGCTTTGGGTCACATTTGTGAGAAAAGCAATTAAGAAATAAAACTGATAAAACATCCTAAATGCACCACTGAACTATGTAGCTGTCCATTTGGATAAGTGGCTGAAGCTTCTCCCTAGTTCCCACTTCCTTTTTTATTACTTGATTGTTAAAAAAAAAAAAAAACCTCAAAGCAGTATACAAAAAGATCAAACGATAAAATTGAGAAAACTTCACAACCCTACTTTAAAACATACAAAAGTTGAAATACTGAAACAGATTTACCTCATCTTTCTAAGCAGCTAGGTAGATTTGTCCGAACAATAGTGTTTTTTAGCAGGCACCATAAAGAGTACAGCGAAGGCGCCTGCTTGATCTCAATAGGCAGGGTGTTCCAAAGTGCCACATTGAGAGCACGTGCTTCCCCCGAAGTTTCCTGGGAGCAGCACCTCTGCAAGGGGTAAACTACAGTCCCCAGAATTCCTCGGAAAGAGCCAACGAGCTCCTGGCCATTGTAGTTCAGCAAAGTCTGCTTGTGAACAAAACAGGGTGCGGAGAGAGGAAACGCTTTATGAATCGCGTGTACTATTTAGTAACAGGAAAACAATATATTTATTCTTTTTTAAAAAAAGGCGCGTGGGGAGTGGGCGGGAAGAAAGGGTGGAGCTGCGAATACCCTCCGGCCACCAGGGGGCAGCGGCAGCGGGATCGGAAGCAGAAGCGAACCGGAAGCGCCGCCGCCGCCGCCACTCTTGCCCGCCCTCTGGCGCTGCGCTTGTCTCCTCCTTCTTCTCCGCGGTGCGCGCGGCCGAAGGTCGCCGGGAGTCGGGAGCGCGCGGGCGGGAGCGCGCGGTCGGTCGGTCGGACCGGGTTAGTACGGCCTTGACGGGGCCGAGCGGCCGAGCAAAGGGCCCCTCCCTTTCCTTCTCCCCTGTCCATCTTCCCCTTTAAATCCCCGCCACGGGGGCCTAGACCGGAGCATGGAGCCTCCTCCGCTGCCCACGCCTGGGAGGAAGGAGCAGCAGCAGCTGAAGAGCCTTCGCGTATCCTTCTCCAGCTGGGTTGGAGGCGTCGGGCAAGGCCGAATGTCACAAGGGTTGGGGTCGCTTTGGCGGGGGTTGGACTAGATGACCCCCTGGGGTCCCCTTCTAACTCTACTGTGATTCTGTGTGGGGACTTGCAGGTTAAGATTTGGGGGCTGGTTCTGGGGGTTGCAAGGGATGGGGGCCTGGGACGGGCTTTGAAACGGGGGTAGGTGGGTGGGAGGGATTTGGCAGGTAGGGGGAGCCACAGTGTTAGAGCCCAGAGCTTCCCGAGAGGGCCCCTTCCCCCTTGTTGCCCGGCAGCCTTTTCGCTCCGCTGCGTTTCTGCTTGGAGATAGGAGACCTGCGCGGGGGGGTGTTGTTCCCTCGGACGTTTGTTTTTAGCATGTTAGCCCGAGATGACTTTAAAGGGCAGCTTCGTGGAGAAGCGAGCCTTAAATTGACCGCCCTCGGCTGCACGTTGCAAGACAGTGTATCTCTCTAGAGAGTAGGATGCTTCCAAAGTGTTTTGTTTTCCTTCTCACCGTCATGGTTGGAAACAAGATGCCAGGATGGTTGCTCTGACCCAGAAATACACTTTTTTTTGCACTTGCTGCTTTCTCCATGTCAAATCTTGATTAATCATGGAATTGTAAAGTTGGAAGGGACCACCTAGGGTCATCTAGTCCAACCCCCTGCAATGCAGGAAACTCAACTAGATCATACATGACAGGCCCAGAGAAGCAGGCCAGACTGGTTTGTTGTTTGTTTTCTGGCTCAGCCCTGGGAGTTGTTTTAAGAATTGGATGATGTTATTAAAGTTGTAAATGAGATAAGGGACATGTGTGGAGTGTTTTATCTCAGCCATTTTGAATGACCATCACCTGCTATCTGCAGTAGGACACAAATTATGGGCATGGCATACTTTCCAGCCAGCACAGGTTTGGTCTCTGAGACAAGCTTTAGGCTACACTCCTTTCTTGTGCCTCTTTTTCATAGCAATTAAACTGGGTGGGAGGAGGGTTCATTGATGAAGGATGAAACTGGCACAGAGCAGTGCGGAGGGCTACCAACATCACAGCTTCAGAAAGAGGGATTCATTTGGTTGTGTAATGGGTAATGGGGTTGAATATGAATTGAATATGATTATGGGAAAATGTGTGGCTGGCAGCACACTGAATTGTTTGGGACGATAGGATTTTACACGGGCTTTTTTCTGTACCACCTTCCCTCTTTTCCTTAGCTTGTTCTCAGGGTGTGGAGGTAAAGGGAGGCCAGAAAGTGCCATGTGAACTGAGCCTGTCACAGTGCGGTGAAGAATATGTGTAAGTTGCCACTGGAGTTTGAAGATTTCTACCCCACACATTCATTTGTACTCTGTAGACTGGGGCAGGAGGCAGCTCCTTCCATGGCTCCCCTGGTAATCTCCTGGGACTGGCCTTGGATATTTTAAGAACAAGGTTCTGAGCAGGACTTGGACATCTCCCTGTGTCTCCAGATGTTCATTGCCCCCTGGCCTTTTCATGGCTAAAATGCCAGTCAAGTCATATCAACACTATATTTCACTTTGGGAGATGGCAGTTTATGATTATCGGTGCTAACTCAGAAATAGTACCTCGGGCTAAGAACTTTGCTTCAGGATGGGAACAGAAATCGTGCTCCAGCAGCGCAGCAGCAGGAGGAGGCCCCATTAGCTAAAGTGGTGCTTCAGGTTAAGAATAGTTTCAGGTTAAGAACAGACCTCCAAAACAAATTAAGTACTTAACCCGAGGTACCACTGTATCCTTATTCTGACAATGTAGTGGGCAGAGGGAAAGTTGCAGACATGGCAGACTTTGGCTCACATCCTATTCAGCTATGGGGCTTGCTCAGTGGCTTTTCCTTGCCAAATTACTGTGAAGAGACACAAATTCTCCAATCTTAAAATTACTGGACTCTCAGAACCCTGTTGAGATGAGAGATTTACAGCCCAATCACACACATTTAGTCTGAAATGTTCATTGGCGTTTACCCACAGGAAGGAGCGTAGGTTTGCTGTCCTACTCGCTTGCTCAGGGCTACCCTATGGGGTTTCTGGCTGAGCAACAACAACAAAAAACAACTGCCCAAAAAACCCTGGCTGTGTACTTGAAGGGATACCCTTTTGGATGCATGTGCTGCTATTTCATGCCTAAATTCAACCCCAACTTAGTCCTTTGTTCTGATAGCTATAACTAGGTGGATCTTTCAACACAGGAGTGTGGAACCTCAGGCCCAGGGGCCAAATGTGGCCCTCCAGGCTTCTTTGCCTGGCCCTTGGAACTTTCCCTAAGCTACTCCCCTCACTGGCCCTGCTGTGTACTCCAAGTGTTTTGAGTTCTTGCTTGCCTGGATGGAGGATAACAAAGGTTATTTGTGGGAACTATCATGTACAAAGGTGAAATTTACCTTCATTGCTGGGCTTTCTTTTGCCTCTGGTCCTGCCCAGCACTGGCATGTTGCTCTTGGAAGGTTGCCTAGGAAGGAGTATGGCTCTCAGAATGATAAAGAAATAGAGATTTCTCACAGCACTTCCCCATATCCCTTTCATCTTGTTCCAGTTTCACTATCCGTTCCCAGGAAGACCCCAGTGTTCAAGAGAGGATTCCCATCAACAGCCGTTTTAAGTGTGTGCAAGGTATCCAGCCTCTCTTGTCTCTTCTGTTGTGGGAATTTGTTGCTTCCTTGTAGCAAGGTGGTGGGAAAACAATGCCCCACCCCCAAAGCCACAAATGGAAACCATGCCTCTGTAACTACGCTTTCCAGACTGGAGTGCAGGCATGAATGCAGATCCCTGTTGGTGCATAAGAATAACTGTACAGCCCCTGGTGGTGTGTTGTTCAGGTGTCTCCAATAATGGAATTGACTTCAGACCATGCTTTGGATGTTGTTCCTCGGTGCTAAACCTTTGCAGATCTCAGCTCTGGTTTCCATGAAACAGGAGATGTGCTCTGGTATCTCCATTACAGAGGCCCAGATCATGGTGCTTTGCTCCTCTGACAGCACTTGACTTTTCTTTATGGCTAGGCGAGGAGAGATGTTCCTATTGAGGGCCTTCTAGAATGGTCCTTTCTAATTCTTGATCCGTTCTAATTCTCTTCCAGAGGCTGAAGAAACTCTACTGATTGACATAACAGCAAACAGTGAGTCTCCCTTGACCAGAGTGCTGTCAGGAATAGATATTGCCTGTCACTGACATGTCATCTTTCCCTCTTGACTCATCATTCTTGTTCCTGCTTGTCTCTCCTTCCTGACCCTGATGTCTGGATGTTGTGGCCCCCCCCCAAAAAAGTCAGACTGCTGCTGGGGTGAAAGGCTTTTTTTATTCTATCCTCTGCCTTCATGCTGCTTTACAGAGTCAGGACTAGATCAGTGCCCTGAGAAGCTCACAGTGGAGGATGAGGAAAGCTGGGAAAAAGCATTCAGTCTAGTTACATGTACAGTTTTAGTAAAGGATGGGAATTAAAGATTGTACTAGACACTTCCTGGAACATACAGGGTTTGATGAGGGTTTTCAATGATAAGTTCTTTGGGAGACAGTTGCAGGCATGAGAAGGAACAGAGCTGCCTTATGCAAAGTCATCACATTGGACCATCTAGCTTGGTAATGTCCACGCTGACTGGCAGCAGCTCTCCACTTCCTGGAGATGCTGGGGATTGAACTTGGGATCTTCTGCATGCAAAGCACATGCAGCCACAGGATTTAATATTGCTGGAAACCTTCTGACGTTTAAGAGTGGTAGAGCTGGAGGAGGGAATGTCACAGGCAGGGATGTATCACGATATGAGATCAGAGACAAGAGTTTTGAAGATGGCTGAGAAAGCCACCAGAGAACTGCAGCCAGTGTCTTCAGCACTTCCCTTGGGGTCCAGAATTCTTAAAAACACAGGTGTTCATTCACAAAATGCACCTGTTTCTAAGGATTCCAGCACATGGAAACTGAGAATTAGAATAGACACTATTCTGTGAGGTGTCCAAGATGTTAAAAGCATTCCTTGATCTCTCTCCAGATAGATATAGATAACATAGTTCTTGCACGGTGGTTGCTTGTACATAACTCACAAGTGTGTGCCCACTTCTCTTAAAAGTAACTAGGAATATTGGCCCATCACTATATCTTAATGGTGAATTCTCAAGAGCCTGCCAACTATGCAGGCAATAGCTATTTGCCTCCCTGTTGCTAGTGGCATCTCCTATTGACCATGGGGTTGGGGCAGGGGTTGTGTTGCTTGCTGCCCACTCCATTTTCAGGAAAAGTGTGCCTCTCTTGCAGATAACTGCTTAGGATGCTGGGAGACAGTGGAAGGTTGAGGGTTTGGCCTTGTCCATCTAAAGCAGGGGAGGGGAACTTCTGGCCTTTCAGTTCTTGCTGGACTACAACTCCCATAATTCCTGGCCATTGTCCATGCTGGCTGGGGCTGATGGGAGTTGGGGTCCCACAACATCAGAGGGGTGCAAGGTTCCCCATTTTGTTTCAGTGTGTCCCAACTTTTCTCCTTTTTGTTGTCCACTGTATATTGATTTAACTGCCATAAATAGTGGCTTCCAGAGTGTGTAATGTGGTCCCTTCTAGCCAACAGACATTCATGTTAGCCTATAGCAGAGTTGGGCAACCTCCAGCCTGTGGGCCACTTGTAGCCTTGGCCTGATTTTATAAGGGTCACAAGCAGGGTTGGTAAAAATCAATGGGGTTTTTTTTAAAAAAAAACCAAAACGGATTTCTTAAAATTTAAGTCAGATTTTTAAAATAAAATGCTTTTGGAGGAAAAATATTTCTAAAGATAGTTTTCTATTTAAGTTACATTATAGTCCAAAGGCTATTCATCAGGAAATAAGGATTTGTTTTAAGTTTTTCATGTGTGCTAAAACTCAGTTTTTTTAAAAAAAAATCGTTTAAGCGCATCAGTTAACAAACATGGATACATATGCTATAAAGTTACTGTTTTAGTTAAATAAATTGTTTAAATTGTTATTAAGGAAATGATTATTTTTCTCCTTCCAATAAAGTACAGCAGAAAAGTTGCCCAAATATAAACAGTTAACTTATTAAACCTCACAATAATTTCATAGTTATCTGTCTATGTATTTCTAATAGTATAACCAAATCAGTAATTTTTGAGATAACTGTAAAAAGTACTTTGAAAATTTATTGTTCCAAAAATGAAACCTTCATCAGGTTGTAAATATGCAAGAATGAGTCTTTCTGTAAAAAAAATGATTTAAATCAGGTCTTACTGACTAGTGATTTGAATCAGGTCTTACAGACTAGTGACTTAAATCGTGATTTAAATTGATTTGATTTAAATCAAATCTACCATGGTCACAAGGAAAGGGCAATGAGGTGAAGAATGGCAGAAAGCAGCAGTGACTGGCACCCACTGGGATTGGTGGAGCCAGAGCCAGTAATAGGCTGAGCCAACTACTGTATTTTTTGCTCTATAAGACGCACCAGACCACAAGACGCACCTAGTTTTTGGAGGAGGAAAACAAGGGAAAAAATATTCTGAATCTCAGAAGCCAGAACAAGAAGAGGGATCGCTGCGCAGTGAAAGCAGCAATCCCTCTTGCTGTTCTGGCTTCTGGGGTAGCTACGCAGCCTGCATTCACTCCATAAGACGCACACACATTTCCCCTTATTTTTTAGGAGGGAAAAAGTGAGTCTTAGAGCAAAAAATATGGTAATTCTAGCTTTACCCCCATCCTCCTCTGTGCTGTGTCTCAGGGAGCACTGAGACTAAGGAGGAGGAATCTAACAGGCAGGGCCACCCACAGGACTGTAAGTTAGAAGGCAGGCAGGTAGAGGCTGGCTGAGCACAGACTGAGGTTGGTGGGGTACAGCCTCACTTGCCCTCGTGGAGCAGCTTCCACTGGCAGGGAGGAAAGGTGGTGTCCTTTCCAGTTTGGGCACTTGGCTTTCCCACCGTCCACATCAAGATTCCCCCTCCCCACTCCCTCGCTGCCCTGGAAATGCAACAGGGAGTAGGCAACTATTTTTAAATGTACCATATTTTTCCGTCTATAAGACGCTACCATGTATAAGGTAAAAGGTAAAGGGACCCCTGACCATTAGGTCCAGTCGTGACCGACTCTGGGGTTGCGGCGCTCATCTCGCTTTATTGGCCGAGGGAGCTGGTGTTTGTCCGCAGACAGCTTCCGGGTCATGTGGCCAGCATGACTAAGCTGCTTCTGGCGAACCGGAGCAGCGCACGGAAACACTGTTTACCTTCCCGCCAGAGTGGTACCTATTTATCTACTTGCACTTTGACGTGCTTTCGAACTGCTAGGTTGGCAGGAGCAGGGACCGAGCAACGGGAGCTCACCCCCTCGCGGGGATTCGAACCACCAACCTTCTGATCGGCAAGTCCTAGGCTCTGTGGTTTAACCCACAGCACCACCTGCGTCCCCCCCATGTATAGGACACCCCCTATTTTGGGGCACTCAGATTTAAGAAAATGGGGCAAAATGGCCCCGTGTATAAGACTCCGCCTAATTTTTGACATTTTTTTTTTTAGGGGAAAAACGTAGTCTTATATACGGAAAAATACGGTACCTTATTTCAGAACTTTTATTCTACAAAATGTGATCTTCCTCAGTTCCTTTATAACTTCTTAGTAGAGTGTTTAATGCTCTCCGTTGTGTTTCATTTCAAGGTTTTGCTGCTGTTTTTATTTTCATTTACTGTAGTATAAAAGCAGTAACTTTTGAAGTGTGTCAGGTTCCTGTGAACCTGATCAGTGTCTAGAAGTTCATGTATCTTCAGATGTGGCTGCTTCTCAGCTTCAAGTCCACTCAATTACAGTGCAGTCTCGCTATATCTCTTGTCTTTTCTAATGCACTTCCTGTATGAGCCAAAGCAAGAATATTCTGCTCATTCACTGTGTGTGCCTGAAAGTTCATCCTTGGATTAAGTAATGAATATGACAAGTCAAACTTTACAGCACAATTGTTCCTCAAGCTGTTTCTTCATTTTTGTTGTCTGTTTATTGTCATCCCTCTTTTTAAACATTGGGGGCATTTTCCGTGTTCTGCCTTATCAGTGTTGTGCCCTGTTTCCTGACATGTGCTTTTCCTGTGTGTGCTTCAAGCTGGCTGCAAGATCCGAGTGCAGGGTGATTGGACAGCAGAACATCTCTTTGAGATCCCAGATGAGGAGCAGTGTTTGGGATTCCTCGCTGAGGTTCTGAGAATCCAAGAAGGTGAGCAACTCCCATGCCCTGTCTCTGATGTTTGATGTTGGAGATGGCCTAGTCTCTCACATGAGTGTTGTTGTTGATTTTTGTTGTAGTCCCGCGAAACACTTCTTTCCCTGATCTTGTGGATCATACCTCCTGGCACCAAGTGAAAGGTCTCACAGGGCCAGTAGATCCCCCTTCTGCAGGTACAACCACACCAACATGTAACTTGTGTGATTTCTGCTTGGAATTTTTAAGTACTTTCCTTTAGAGGAAAGGCCTTGAGGGGAGGACCTGTTGCCTCCACAACCCTTCCTAAACATGCATAAGCTGAGAGGCAATTGTCCGACAAATGTGGTGCTGTGGGGGAGGCAGTATCATTTTCCTGCAGTTAAGTATTTTCTAAGTTCCTTTCCCGAAACTTCCCCAAATGGTTCTGAAGCCTCTCTAACCTCAGAAGTCTTTTCTTCTCTCAGGAATTCTGGGATTTGAGGATAACTTCAGTGTTATGAGTATGGAGAAGAAAAGAAACCTGCAGAATCAGCAAATGAGCGCCCGCCGGGAGCCTCCACCCCCACCGCTGCCACCAAGCAGGCCGTAAGTTGCCTTAGAGTTGTACTATGCCCTCCCGCCTCCTTGGTTTTAAGGGCTACTTGAGTTCTGTTCCCATCTCCCTTAGGCGTATCCGTGACAAGGACAGCATGAGCAAGGAGCAACCCAAAGTGACCAACACTATGCGCAAGCTCTTTGTGCCTTCCACACATACACAGTCCGGACAGAGAGAGGGACTCATCAAGCACGTTCTTGCCAAGAGAGAGAAGGAATATGTCAACATCCAGAATTTCAGGTCAGATCATGAAAAGTGCAAACACCAGTGGAAACTGTTATCATAGTTGGGGTTGGAGAAAGCGACATCTACATGACAGCTTTATTGTTGGGTGCCAGGCAAAGTCTGTCCTGTTCACTCAGGCCACATGGGTGGGTAATTTAAAGTATTAGTTGTGGTGGGCAATTTTCCTTGGTGCCACATACTGAACCGTGGCTTCATATTATGAGCAGGACAGCAGCCTCTCCTCCAGGTTTGCACACTTCTCCCCCACCCCGAGCCTATTTGGAAGCTTCCACTTGTATTTTAAAGTAACCACAGTTTGGTGTGTCCAGATCCTATAGTGGTTAATTTAGCAGCTTTGTAAACCCATGATTTGAAGTTGGCTTGTTTCAATGAGCCATAGTTAAAATTAAGTGGTTGTATAGCTTCAGACTTTGTAACAAGATGCAGTTAATCCAAAACTGAAGCAAAACCTTTGGAACTCTTCCTAAAAGCTGTGCTTGAGGACAAGGAGGTGTTTGACCCCAACCCTGACTCCCAACACTTGGTCATCCTGATAATGCTAAGCTTACTACTTGAAAGAAAGTTTTTGCTTCGGTTATTTCCTTGTACTGTTAGTAGTACCCAGCTGCAACTGGTTTTTAATGGCTGCTTTTATCATAGGTTTATCAGTATGTGGTTAGCAGCTTTAGATCCTACTGTTTTACAGAGGCTGTTTTGCTCTTTTTTCCCCTTTACTAGACAGGCTGTATTTCTGTGCTGTCTTCAGAGTCGGGAATGCCCATTCCTTCATGGCCAGCATGGAAACACAGGTTGCTAGCCATTTAGGAGGTTTCCATAGAGGAAAAGGGTGTTACAGGGTAATCTTCTACCAAACAAGCTTGGCACAGCAGATCTGACAGGTGGTTTTCTGCTCCCTGAAAGCCAGCCTGCAAACCAGGTTGCCAGGTGAAGGAAGAATGGAGAGATCAACCAACTCACTTGCCTTCAGAGAATTTCTGGTTGCCTGTGGCAACTGGGATAGTGCTTAAATATCAGGCTGGCTGACACATCTTAAAAAATACAAGGAAAAAGCTTTTTTCTTTCATTAGCAAAGCTCATTTGGGGCCCAGAATAGCTAAATTGAGGAAGAAGTGGCTGGTATTACTTGTTCTTGGTCCTTATCCTGCCTGCCCTTGTAATCCTACCTGCCACACACTCCTGTTGTCTTTGCATATTTAACCAGCAAGTCTGTTCAGATTGGAGTCCTATTCCTGCAGCTCCACATCCTTCTCTTCCTTGCAGGTTTTTTGTGGGGACATGGAATGTGAATGGGCAGTCTCCAGACAGTGGATTGGAACCTTGGCTGAACTGTGATTCAGAACCCCCAGATATCTACTGCATTGGGTGAGCAGACATAATAGCTTTTCAGACACCCCTCTCTCAGTCTTTGTTTCCCCACAGTTGCTTTCTAAACTGAGGTCCTGTTGTGGGAAGGCTTTCGCTTTAATCTTGGAACAAAATAGGAGAATCCCGAGGATTTGTATCTTTTAGCCAGGAAGCAAAGTTCTGCCATAATGAACGTGGCAGTGCCATCCTTTCACCCTGTGGGCAGTGGATTACAGCAGCATCAATGATAGCCAGAGGCCTAGGAGGCTCTGGGGGAAGGATGGCTTAGTGCTAGGGATGTGTATTGTATCTGATGGCACTTTGGCATTAGGTTCCAGGAGCTGGACCTGAGCACAGAAGCTTTCTTCTACTTTGACTCGACAAAGGAGCAAGAGTGGCTGACAGCTGTGGAAAAGGCTCTGCATTCTAAATCCAAGTACAAGAAAGTAAGTGCAACCCCACCCATTTCTTCAGCAGCCAGACAGCTGTCAGTGAGGAGGAGGAGGAGGAGGTCAGGAATAAAAAACACCTGGTGTCAGTGGTGTTTTATTCAAAAGAAGCCAAAATTCTTTATTCAAAGAAACTAAAACCGTGCAGGCCTAGTGATCACAGAAACCTTTCCCAACAGGTCTTGCCCCAGTGAGGTAGTTGTGAAGGCTGAAGGTTGCTACCTTCCCACCACTCTCTTAAGTCTCCTCCTCCTCCCGGTCCTTCCCAAGCAACCTGAGACTCTGACACCTTGCCTGTCTTTGCTCCATCCTCTTAATTTCTCTCTGTGTTCTGGGAGACCAGCAGGGAGGGGAGCTGATTGCAGCAGGATGGGGAGATCCCCTGGCTTCTTCAGCAGCCTGCCTGATCTCTGCCTCTTGACTCCAGCCTCCACTTCTGCCTCTGATTCTGGACTGCTGTCTGCCACAGAATCTTCCTGCCCTCTTGCCTCTTCAGTTTCCAACACCTCCTCTTGCTCACAGTCTGCTCCCTCTTCTCCCTCTGACAACTCATCGTCGTCCCCCCACCAGTTCCCTGGCTTTGAGCCTTCTTCCCTTGGGGGATCCCCAGTTGATGCCACCCACCACTCCTATCTGCAGCCAGCCAGCCCATGACAGCAAGCAATGCACAAATCTGGTAGACATCCCAGTACCTTGCATCTTCTAGGTGCAGCTGGTGCGTCTAGTTGGAATGATGCTGCTCATCTTTGTCAGGAAGGACCAGCTTAGCCACATCAAGGAAGTGATGACGGAGACAGTGGGCACAGGCATCATGGGGAAGATGGTGAGTAGACCCTGACAGCGGAATTCCCTACGTCTACCTTTCTATCTGTCTATATGTTTTTATAATCTCTGCCAACCAGTTTCCCCCTCTTTGCCGCTTGCTCGCTAACAGCCATCTTTGCTCCGCCCCTGCAGGGTAATAAGGGGGGTGTGGCCGTGAGGTTTGTCTTCCACAATACCAGCTTCTGCATTGTCAATTCCCACCTTGCTGCCCACGTGGAAGACTTCGAGCGCCGAAACCAGGATTACAAGGATATCTGTGCCCGGATGAGCTTCCTGCCCCCTGACCAGGGTCTGCCGCAGCTGACAATCATGAAACACGAGTGCGTTTCGAGGGCTTGGAGGGAGAGAGCCTTGGCTGACGTAACTTGTTGGTCTCCGCTATCTGGAGAAGCAAATTGAGTCACGTTTCTGTAACTTTCCTGCATGTGTGTAGCTCAAGGGTAGGCAGCATAGTGCTCTCCAAATGCTGATGGACTACAACTCCCATAATCGCTAAGAATTGGCCTTGCCGACTGGGGCTCATGAGAGTTCCACTTCAGCAACACCAGAAGGGTGCAGTGTCAGTGATCCCTGCTGCCGCTGCACTACTAAGGTTTCTACTAGAGCAGACAGAAGTGCCCAGAATTGTAGGCTTCTGCTTCATTCAGGGCAGGCAGATATTAAACATCTTTGGAAGCGAGTGCTGGGCTTCATTCATTAATTTCTGTTTATTGTGGGGATTTCTTCCGCAGAGTGGCTTATATAAAATAATAATCAGAAATGCACCTCAAGATAATTTAAATCATATAAACAGTACCTTAATAGCAGCAGATCTAAATAGAGCAACATAAACCTAGTGGCAGAGATGTATTAGATTAGATTATAGCAAATGTGGGCAACTTCTCCAATGATCGGGGTAGGAGTTGCAGTTTGTTAAGGGCAGTAGCGCAAAAGCAGAGTTGCCATTTTGCATGGAGAAGGTTCCAGGCTCAATCACCAGTGTGTGCAGATAGGGCTGGGAATGATCTCTGCCTGGAAGCTGCTGCCAGTCCATGTAGTCAGTCCTGAGCTTGATGGGTCAATGGTGTGCCTCAATATAAGATAGCTTCCTATGTTCCTGTGTACTACAGCAGTGTTTGGAGGGCCACAAGCACCTACCCATGAATTAAAGAACCAGGGGAAATTTTAAAAGTCTTTGCTGAAAGGACATCAAAGCAGGGGCCAGGTGAGCCTCTTTGGGAAGATTATTCTAAAAGGCAGGGTGCCATTACTGAAAAGGCCCTGTCATACTTGAAAGAGCAGGAGTTCCCTGGGAAAGATTCTAGTCAGGGGAGAGGCAGTGCAAAAATAAGTGGGCTTTCTTCTGGTACCCTTTTCCCAAACCTTGAAACGCTTTAAAGGCCAAAAGGGATACTCTGAATTGGGCCTGGAACCAGTTCAAAAGCCAGTGTAGTTCACAGAGCACTAGCCTAATATGATCATTCTGCCCAATCCTAGTTAACCCCCCCCCTCGTGAGCTTGCCTGTAGCTGTGGTTTTTTCGCTTTTTTCCAGCATTGTCATCTGGTTGGGTGATCTGAACTACAGGCTTTGCCTTCCTGATGCCAACGAAGTGAAAACTCTGATCACTAAAAATGAGCTTCAGAGACTTCTGACCTATGACCAGGTGAGAGACATACTTGTGTTATATGTGGTGGTTTAGGATATTGCCCTGTTTATTTCCTATGTCTGGGATACCCCAGCCTAGACTAGAGAAACCACTTTCAGACTGTTAGGAGCAAAGTGTAGCTATAACATAGAATGACTGCGACTTCTACAAATGCTTTGTAAGCTTGCAGTTTTGTGCAACCTTAATTAGAAGCAAGTCCCAATTAAGTTGGATGGTTGCCTTGGAATTTGCGTAAGTAGGACTTATTACCCAGTTAAAGGGCTTTCCTAGGTCAGCGCACTCTCCAGATGTTGTTGGACTCCCATCAGCTCCAGCATGTCCGTGGCCAATGGTCAGGGACAGCGATAGCTGCTGTCCAGCAATAGCTAAAGGTCTAAGGTTTCCTGCTCTAGGTTTTGCATCTATCTGGAAAATCTGCATTACTCACATCTTATCAGCAGTTACTTCCATTAAATCAAATTAAATTGCTGATGCTTTTCGTTTTTAATTTTTTCTTCCAAGGTTTGTGTGTTCGTAACGCTTACGACCTTTCTCCCACTTGGCATAAGGACCATTGCTATTTTGTGTTGAAACAGAGGCCTGATTGCTGCATCTTATGGTGGATTTAAGTCCTGTGAGCGTAGTCATGCCTTAGCCCTTTTAGAAGGATGCTGCACTGCTACAAGGCAAGGGTGGGCAGCCTCAGACTTCCAACATACGCAAAACCGTAATAAAACATTAATAACTTCCCTAATGGTTGTATAGTTACTTATCTCCTTGACATCTGACGGGAGGGCGTCCCACAGGGCAGGTGCCACTACTCAGAAGGCTCTCTGCCTGGTTCCCTGTAACCTCACTTTTTGCAGTGAGGGAACTGCCAAAAGGACCTCGGTGCTGGACCTTAGTGTCTGGGCTGAACAATGGGGGTGGAGATGCTCTTTCAGGTACATACTGGGCTGAGGCTGTTTAGGACTTTTTTTCAAAAAAAAAGTATTAGTTTTCACAACATTATAAACAAACAAACAAATAAATACATAAGACAAACAGACATAAATCATAGCCTTATTGAAAATTACATTTATTAACATTGTTAAGTGACTTCCTCACTTCCCCTTGGTTGAATTTCATTGCATATCCTTTTAACGGTTTTCCAAATCACAGTTCTTATAAAATTTGACTTAAACATTAACAACCTTAGATCTTCGCATTATGAAATTAAACATATTAATTCATCACTTAACATAAATAAAATCCTAAGCCAATTAAGTATCTGCAAGCTGTTTTCAGTTAATTTAACTTAAGTAAATCATTAAATTTAATCCACTCTTCCTGATACTCCTCCTCCTTCTGTTCGCGGACTCTTCTGGTTAGGTCGGCTAGCTCCCAAAAATCCATCATCTTCATCTGCCATTCTTCTATTGTTGGTAATTCTTGGGTTTTCCACTGTTTAGCTAACAAAATACGAGCAGCAGTTGTGGCATACAAAAATAATTTAACATCTTTCTTGGGCAATTCCAAACCTGTTATTCCAAGAAGAAAGGCCTCTGGTTTCTTTATAAATGTATATTTCAACATTTTTTTCAATTCATTAGAAATCTTTTCCCAGAAGTCTTTCACCTTGGGACAGGTCCACCACATATGATAAAAGGTTCCTTCCTTTTCTTTACATTTCCAACATAGATTGTCACAGTTATGATATATCTTTGCTAATTTTGAAGGAGTCAAATACCATCTGTACATCATTTTCATTATATTTTCCTTTACATGCGGTGAACTTGACCCCTTTCTTCCACAATCTTTCCCAGTCCTCAAACAAAGCTGTTTAGGACTTTAAAGGTTGGCACCAACGCTCTTAATTGTGCTCGGAAATGTACTGGGAGCCAATGTAGGATGCAAAAGGATGGTTTTGCAGTTGCTCAAAGTGCCAGGGGTGTATCCTGGTGGTTGTTAACAGTTTGTATGGATTATTGGTACATATAACATTGTCTATTGGAGGTATGGCTAACCTGTGGTCTGCCAGATGTTACTGAGCTGCAGTTCCTGTTGGCCCCAACCATCATGGCCAGTAATCAGGGATGATGGGAATTGTAGTTCTACAGCATTGTGAGGACCATGCATCTGCTACTCCTGAGTTAGAGGATTTTCCTGGCGTGTGATGCAGCAAAGTAACTTAAGATGACCAGGGGCAAAATTGCACAAGCATCCTGTACCTTTAATAATTGTGTATAAGATAGGATTTCAACAGGTATACCCCTTTTTTTGCACCTGGCTACCCTACTAGTACTTTGCCTTGGTCTTCCAGCACAATAGTGGCTGTTAATAGACTCCATTGTCAGGCAACAGGGGGTCTTCTGTGCTGATAAGCGATTTCTTTTTGGCTTTAGCTGAACATTCAGCGTACCCAAAAGACGGCTTTTGCTGATTTCACAGAGGGAGAGATCAAGTTCATCCCGACGTACAAATTCGACTCTAAAACAGATCGCTGGGATTCTAGGTAAGCTCCTGCTTGATAGTTGAGCCTTTGTAAATAAGTCCTCAAAATCATTAGTCTGCAAGGCTTGTTTGTTTTTCCTAGTCTATTGGGATGCTAGTAGTGTCCTGCATTTCCATCCTCTTGAGCAGGCTAGTAAAAAAATATAATTTAAAAATTGCTTTCTGCTAAGCAAGCTGGTGGAGGAGGGCTAGAGTTGAGGGCTGGATGGACTTCCATTCCTCTGCAGCCAGAATGGACATCAAGCAAAGGAGGAAAAGAGAGATCCATCTCTCCTTCACCTTCTCACTTTGCTTACATGGAATTCCTGGTCGCCAAAGGCTGCTAGGCGAGTTGTTAAATGCAAGGCTGTGATACGTTGTCTTGCTCAACCCATCCCTGCTCAAAGTCTCTGGAAATGTTTTGGCTCCTTTTCCACAAGCAGCCTTTTTCCCACATTTGTCCTGATAACCAGCGTCCTCTGTTTCATGGTGTGTATAACCGGTGTTGCGGTTCATTGAAAGGTGCAGCAGGAAGTGTGAATTGGGGCTGAGTGAGAATCCTGATTGTGTCAAGGAAGTCTGGGAATTAGACTTGGTGCTCTCTCAAGATGAGTCTGCCAGGGCATAAGAACATGAGAGCAGCCCTGCTGGATCAGGCCATTGGTCCAGCATCCTCTTCTCACATTGGCCAATGAGATGCCTCTTGGGGAGCCCACAAACAGGACCTGAGTGAAGTAGCCCTCTCCCTTCCTCCAAGCCATGCTGCTGCTGGTGGAGTATGTTCTGTGGCCATTATGGCTAGTAGCCACTGAGCCTCATCATCCATGAATTTGCATATTATTGTGGTTATTGACAACTGTAAGAAGCCACCTAGGCCTGCTAGTTTAATTTCTCTTGCTTGGTTATGGGGGAATCAAAAGGACAGACAGAACATGTAGTGATGAAGCCAGAAAATGGCAGGCTCCTTTTGGCAGCATTTCAGGTGCCAGAAAGGGGTATTTTTACATTTCCTGAAGCTTGGATCACTGAAAAGATAGCGTATGAAGAAAAATAACGGGGACCATTGCTTTTGGGAGGGATCATAATTCAGTGGTGTGCCATACGCTTTGTATGCACAGTCTCAAGTTGAAACTCTATGGCACCTCCACCTGAAAAAGGATTGGGCCACAGAAAGCTGCTGCCAGCCAGAGTAGATTGATTGTGGAGTTGGAAGGGATCATGAGGATCATCTAGTCCAACCCCCTGCAATGCAGGAATCAAAACTGGGGTAGGTCAGAAATTCATTCTGACCTGGTAGAAGGCAGCTTTTGATTTCCTAACAACTCTCTCCATGAGGCAAAATACCTGCACACCTGCAAGGTCTGCCCCTTCTGAAGCTGGACTCCCAAGTCCCATCATCTCCAGCTGTTGACCATGGTCAAGATCACAGACCGTGTATGGAGCCAAAGTTTGACTGAGTGAGCCTTGTGTGTTGCCTCAGCCAGTCCAGTAGTCCCGATGTCTCTCCTGTCTCCTTGCAGTGGGAAGTGCCGTGTGCCAGCATGGTGTGACCGAATCCTCTGGAGAGGAGGCAGCGTGAATCAACTCAGCTACCGAAGCCACATGGAATTGAAAACGAGCGACCACAAGCCCGTCAGCTCCCTCTTCCTCATAGGGGTAACACCTGCCCTGGCCAGGGCTATCGTCTATTAAGGTTTTTTTGTATCCTGCTAGGTGGCACCTCCTTAGATATGGGCAGGCCCTGACCACAGAGCTCCTCCTTGACAAATGCCTTCTGGTGCAAGGAGTGGGCAGGTCTTGGCTCTGTTAAATCCCTATGCTTCCATTCTCCACTGTTCTGAGTACACACTGCTCCTGCAGGCATGGCAGACCACATGGGCTGAACTGTACACCTTAACAGTTGGCTCCATTCATGCAATGCAGCTTCTGTGGTACTTGGCTTGGAGCATTTGGCTTCAACCCATTAGGTCTGGAAGTTACAGCTGCTGCCATCCCTGGGGAAGTTCTCAGAGTTACTTGCCTCTTTCAGGGCTGGGAACAGGGTGGTGCATCAGGCATTTCTGCTCTTAACACATACCCCCCCTTTTTTTGAGTCCACAGCCCCAACAAGTGTGCTCTGTTTCCCCCCCACTCCCACCCTTATAGGTGAAGGTTGTGGATGACCGACGGTACCGGAAAGTGTTTGAGGATATTGTTCGGTTGATGGACAGGATGGAGAACGAATTCCTGCCCTCACTGGAGCTCAGCAGGAGGGAGGTAAAGACGAATAAGATCCTCTCCAACCCCTTAAAGAGGGTTTGCTGCAAAAAGACCAGGGGAAAAAGAAGCCTGCTTTATATCATGCCAGGCCCTTGGCCCATCTAGCTCAGTCTTGTTTACACTGTCAGGGAGCGGTTCCCCAGGATTTCCGGGGGATCTCTCCCAGCCCTAGCTGGGGATAGAACCTGGGACCTTTGCATGCAAGGCAGATGCCCTTCCACTGAGCTGCAGCCTCTTCCTGTTCCTCGCAGGGGTATCCAGTGTGCTGCCCTCCAGATGTTGGACTACAATTCCTATCATCCCCAGCCAACATGGCCTGTGGCGATGGGAAGTTGCAAGTGCAGCAATATCTGGAGAGCCCCAGGTGGACACTCTAGAGCAAACGTAGCCACTGTGAGGTGGCATTTGGACCTGTTGCATGTGCAGTCCCTTAAATGAGAACCCGGGGTCAAGGACAAACTTCTCCCTGGAGCACGTTTCCTTGCCGTCTGCTGAAGGCAAGCACTCTCTTTCCTCCCCCCCCCCCCCAATTTTGCTATACAGTTTTCGTTTGAGAATGTGAAGTTCCGGCAGCTGCAGAAGGAGAAGTTCCAGATCACAAACAACGGGCAGGTCACCCTCCATTTCTCCTTCATCCCCAAACTCAATGACAGCCAGTATTGTAAGCCATGGCTTCGCGCTGAGCCCTACGAGGGATACTTGGAGCCCAGTGAGTCTCTCTCTGGAATCATAGAATTGTAGAGTTGGAAAGGGACCCCAAGGGACATCTAGGGAAGGCCTTCGTTTCCTTTTCATCCCCCCTTTTCTCGTCCTCTTCCCAGCCCTCCTCCATCAAACCTTGGGAGTTTTGTAGAGCAGGGGAGGCTTAACATTTGTGGGCTATATTGCCCCATGCTCAAGCCTCCAAGGGCCACACGTCAAAGCAGGTGAGCCCAAAGTGTGAAAGTGAGTGTGACCAGCTTTAAACACACACACACGCACAAATGAATTGGAGCAAAGAAATGCTGGAGGGTCCAAAAAAACCTTTTGGCACCACAGGGAACTAGTGAGAGCAGTCCATCAGAAAATTACTTTTTTTAAAAATTGCGTATTTTTACATTGTGGAGGCACTAAAATATCTTGGGGAACATATAGAACTAGCCAAACTTTTAAAAACTCGATGAAATGTAAACTAAAAAAGAAAGTTACATTGGGGGCACAAAAATCCTTTAGGAAACAAATAAATGCTTTCCCTTTTTATATTCTTTTGTTGGGATCACTTTCTCTTACCCCCCAGTACCCTGTCCCCATATTCTGTGCAGCTGCTGCTTTGGAGGAAAAGAGAGGAAAGTGGGGTGGGGGTGGGAATTGAGTAGCTTCTGTTCCTAATTCTTGAAGTTAAGGTTTCCCACATAAACCTGTGAGAACAGGATGCTGTACTAGATGGGCCATCGGCCTGATCCAGCAGGCTCATCATGTGTCCTTCTGTTAAATTATTCACTATCTTAACATCTAATTTACAAACAAACGAACAAACAAACAACCCTGGCTGTTCCAAAGATTGTATCTACCTGACCTCTTCCCATTTTAGATGAGACTCTGGACATTTCCCTGGATGTGTACGTCAGCAAGGACTCTGTGACGCTTCTCAATTCAGGGGAGGATAAGATTGAGGATATCCTTGTCCTTCACCTTGACCGTGGCAAGGACTATTTCCTCACCATCAGTGGGAGCTATCTACCAAGCTGCTTTGGGACCTCCTTGGAAGCCTTGTGCCGGATGAGGCAGCCGATTCGCGAAGTCCCCGTCACTAAACTTATTGATCTGGTAGGGAAAGGGGTTGATTTACCTGGCAGGTTCATTTGCTAAATATCTAACCTTCCCACTCTGCTTGCCTGCCTGAAAAACAGCTGCTCTTCCACTCAGAAATGTGTTTGGTGGGGGTCCTTCACTTCATTCATGTGGCTGGTCACTCGCTTCCTGTGTGCTGTTCATGTTTGCTGTTGACTGAGTCATCCCAAGTTCTTGTCCTCCCACCTGCCCTTTCGCACGGCCACTAAACCATGTGCATTTCCCTGCCATCTGCCCAGATACTGTTCAGCGAATGGGCTGTTTCTTTCTCTTCTTAGGGCCTGTGTCATTAACATACTTTGTTGTCTTTTTTCCACTTTTCTTTTGCTCATGCCTTCCTCCTCTGATCTCAGGGAGAAGACAGCTTCCTAGAAAAGGTAACAGTTGGTTTGATATCTCTCTCGATGTTCTTGTAGCGGGCTCAAATCAGGTACAGGCAACTCCCCATTTACACGGGGGTTGCGTTCCGAGGTACCGTGCGTTTAAATGAAATCGCGTATATTGGGGACGGCATTGGAAAAGCCTGCAAACACCCTCTAAACCTCCTGAAACCCCTTTTAAAAGCCTTTTAAAAACCAGCAGCGCTTGCCAGACTCCCTGCAAAACTCCTTGCTCAAACTCCAACTCTCCACAGGCCTCAAAGGTCAGTGCAAAGGCTCCTGGGAGGAAGTCTAGATGCTGTTTCCATGCCATGCTGCTGCCGCTTTTGTGCTGTTGGGGGGGGGGGCATTTTTGCCCCTTCAAGTGCCACTTCCAGGTTTGCAGCAGAGTGCATGTGCCTCGAACGCACGTAAATGGAGTTGCCTGTACTGGATGGCGCTTGTCAACGATCAGCAGGTGCTCCATGCAGTGGCAAACCAGGCGCTACCCCACCAAACTCACTTTCCTCTCGGGCAACCCTCACCTGCCTGCCTTGTTACTCAAATCCAGTCCAGGTGGTGGCTCTAGCTATCTGCTTCCTTCTCTTCCCTAGTCTCAGTGTGGCCCTTGTAGAACTCAGCAGAGGAGAACGGAGACAAAACCAGAATTTGCCATCACTGCTTGTAACTGATTTTGCTCTGCTTGACTCTGGGTCCACTTACGATGGGCAGCATGGGAGGCAGAAAGCCCAGTCTCATTATGCAAACATCAGCCCCCTCTGGCCCAAGAGCCAGTTTTCTCCTTGTCTCTGTGCTGAGCAACTGCTGCACAGGCTATGCCACTCTTGCTTACTCTTACCACCTGAGCACTGGCATTTGGGAAGCAGTAGTGGCTGCTTTGGGGTGGCTCAGGGAAATGTCACTCCTCTTGAAATCAGATATACTATTATCATAGCCACTTTGGAGACAGTGGTGACTGCCAATTTGGACAGCTGTAGACATTTAGAATCATGGAGGATATGTTTATCAGTGGCTACCGGTCAGGGCTATTTATTGCCACTATTATCATAAACCACATGCTTTTGATTACCAGTTTCTGGGGAACATGATGGACAGAGTGTTATTGTCCCCGTGTCCCTATGGACTTCCCAAGGGCATGTGGTTGGCCACTGTGGGAACAAAATGCTGATCTAACCCAGCAAGGCTCCTGTGTTCTTCAGCATGTATCTGCTACTCTTACACTAAGACTCTGATACAGTATGTGTCATTCCCCACACTAATACACACACTCTCTCTCTAGAGACGGGGGCAGAGAGTATTGGTGGGGAGGATGAATTGGGTCCTAATCAACAGCTTCCCTGGGGATGAGAGGAAGTGGAGTTGGGATCAAATTCTTCATCCTTGCCAACTCCTTTTAGGGATGGGCTGCTTGCCATTGCTGTGCTCCTAAAGCTCTCTTGCTCCTCTCTTTCTCTTTCTCTTTCTCTTGAACGTGGTAGCTTGAATTTTATTATTACGGTCACAGACCAGTTCCGGCTCACTTACAATATCAGGAAAATAATAAAACACAACAGGAATACATTGAATTGCAATTGGGTATAACAGAGACAATTCAGATATAGCAGCAGTTAAAAATATACATTAAATCTTGATCACTAAAATATTAACAAAAATTGTCATTTAAAACCTTAATCATTTTGGTAGTACAGCTTGTTCCCTAAGTTTTATGGCAGTCGTACAGAATTTGGCCACCCCTAGCGTGATCTCTAGATCCTTGCGGTAGCTTGAGATAAAACTAACCACCCTGAACATCTCTGGAAAGGAAGGAGGCAGGAGGTATTTTTCAGCAGCTGCTGTGTGCTGCATTGTCCATACAAAGTAGTGAGCTCAGGCTCCAGCTGTTGTTCAGTCTCCACCACTGCCTCTGCAACGTGCTCTAGATAAGGGGTGGTGAACATGTGAGCCCATCGTCTCATTATGCTGGCTGGGGCTGCAGCCCATCAACCTATGAAGGCCCATCCATGTTCTGCTGTTTTTGTTACTTATTTCCTGCCCTTCACCCTAAGGTCCCAGGAACAGGTTACAAAAATTAAAATAAAATGTTAGCCAAACCGCATGTCCACAGCTGCATATGTACTAAGCTTCTGGGTGAACTGCACATCCGGAGTGGGAAGATTACTAGCTGCATATTAATAGGCAGCAAAATGGAAGAGTAATGAAATCCCCTCTATACAAGATTGGATCCAAAAGTTGACAGAATATGCCGAATTAGATGGTTTATCAGAAAAAATAAAGAATAAATCAAAACAGGAATTTGTTTCTAAATGGGAGGTTTTCAAAGAATATCTGAAAAATAAATATAGTAGTTTAAATTCTGTTGCAGCATTCAAGGAACTTCAGTGATAGTTGCTAGGTAGATAGAAGAAATTAGATTTATTGAGAATAAGTTTAATTATGAAAAAAAAATGTGTATTGGCAATACGTAATATGAATTTGAAATATGGAATAGACGGGAAGTTGGGTCTTTAGTGTTAAGACCAATAGATGTTTTATTGTTTGCCAAGAAAATTATGTGTCTATGGTTATTTTTGTAATTTGTGTGTAATTTGGTATTTGTGTTTTTTCTGTTTTTTTCTTGTTGTATAAATAAATAATAATAATTAATAGGGGAAGGGGGAGCTTGGATTTGGGGTGTGAGAAATTTGTTTTTTGTTTTCCCACTTGAGATGCTTATTGTGGCTAGGGTCGGGTGATATGTCAATATATATATATATTTTCAAATCGGCTTGAAGTCTATATAGTGATACTGGTTTCATAATTTCTGACCTGGCAATATATTGCAAATCATGATGTGTGTGTGTGTGTGCTATGCAAAAAACACCATGTGGGGGGAAACTGTGAAGCCAGATAATGCTGCTCTAGATTCCTGCAGCCCCTGTTAACTCTGCCGGCTCTGCTTTCCCCTGCCCTCCTGCAGGGGGCAGCAAATCACCAAGAGAGCAGGTGCCAGCAAAAATCACAATTCGGGGGAAACCATTAAGCCTGCAGGGGGCAGCAAATCACCAAGAGAGCAGGTGCCAGCAAAAATCACAATTCGGGGGAAACCATTAAGCCTGCAGGGGGCAGCAAATCACCAAGAGAGCAGGCGCCAGCAAAAATCACAATTCGGGGGAAACCGTTAAGCCTGCAGGGGGCAGCAAATCACCAAGAGAGCAGGCGCCAGCAAAAATCACAATTCGGGGGAAACCGTGAAGCCAGCCAATGCCTCTATCCTTATTTCAGACATCCTGATACACTGGTATATTGCAATGTTTAGCTAGTGATATATTACAACGTTGAAAGCCAGATATTGCCTAGCCCTAGTTGTGGCCTCAGAGGGCAAGACTTGTCCACCCAGCTGGAGCAAGGAAATAATGCATACAGGCACACATTCTGTCAGTCTCTCATGCCAGTCTCGCTTGTCATTGGACCTCCAGGAGAAGCAGTTTCTGGATATAGTACCCCAGGATGGTGATGACTCCACTGAGCGGCCTTTGCACATACCCAAGGAGATATGGCTCTTGGTGGACCACCTCTTCAAGAACGCCTGCCACCAGGTGAGCTGAGGGGGACTGTACCAGGGTGTTGGCTGGAACCAGTACCAGTTTTGGGGTGTGCAGGTCCCAAATGTCACAATTTATTTATATCTTAGCTACCAACTCACTCTTACAAACTACTGCCGTGAGTATAGTGGCACCTTGGTGGAGCGGCAGCGGGTGGGACATCCAGCATACAGTATTCCTTAGAGCAACTCAGAAAAACCCAAGTGTTCACAACCACTGTCTGTCTATCCCTAGTAAAGCGGCCCTCTGAGACTCGCCACTAGAAGAAGCAGGGAATGATTTCACTCTCCCATTGCCCAAAATCATGAGAAGGGTAGTAGGAATGCTACTGTGGAAATCAGGCGGGATAAAATTCTCAGCCCTTGTGCAAGTGTGGTGTAGTGGTTAAGAGCGGTAGTCTCGTAACCCCGGGAACCGGGTTCGTGTATCCGCTCCTCCACATGCAGCTGCTGGGTGACCTTGGGCTAGTCTTTGAAGGCTCTCAGCCCCAATTACCTCACAGAGTGTTTGTTGTGGGAGAGGAAGGGAAAGGAGAATGTTTGTCGCTTTGGGACTCCTTCGGGTAGTGATAAAGCTGGATATCAAATCCAAACTCCTCTTCTTCTCTCCATTGTTCCATTCCTTGACTTCACATTGTGCACCTCAGGGCTGGATTGTTCTTCATGCTATCCAGGATGTACCCCATCCTTTCCTAACGCATGTGTGATACTCTACTTCTGTCTGGCAGGAGGACCTCTTCCAGACCCCTGGCATGCAGGATGAGCTGCAGGAGATAATTGAGTGCCTGGACACCAGCATTCCCGAAACGATCCGTATCCTTGTTTAGCTCTTGGCTGGAGTGGACCTCACTTTTATATACAGTGGTACCTCGGGTTAAGTACTTAATTCGTTCCTGGAGGTCCGTTCTTAACCTGAAATTGTTCTTAACCTGAAGCACCACTTTAGCTAATGGGGCCTCCTCCTGCTGCCGCGCTGCTGGAGTAGGATTTCTGTTCTCATCCTGAAGCAAAGTTCTTAACGTGAAGCACTCTTTTCTGGGTTAGCAAAGTCTGTTATCTGAAGCGTTTGTAACCCAAGGTACCACTGTAAAAACAATCAAAATGGAATGCCCACAGTGAAGTCCAGTCATGCATCCAAACAGCTTAACAGCTTTAACCCCCATTTGAAAACATCAGCCTGGCTAGATAGAGCAGAGGTGGGGAATCTTGACAGGCCTGCAGGCCCCGCATCTAGCATCATACATGGTATCAGGTGTGGAGACAGGTAAAGACATGGCTGCAAAGGAGCTTCAAGGGGGCGTTCAATTGTTCTTTGGCAAGCAGGGTTTGTTGACCACACTTTTGAAGTTGACCACTATTATTTGCTGTTTGGATTGAAACCATGCCTGCAGATGGACATTTCCTCTGCAGATCAGCTTTGCAGGCAGCTTCGTCAAGAGGGGAGGTGTGGGAAAATTACAGTGGGATGGCTTAGTTGGTAGAGCGTGGCACTCTTAATCTCAGGGCTGTGCGCAAAAAGGGGGGGCTCTCAAGGTGGGCCCAGATGTATAAGGACAAAACTACTTGCTTTGGACCAGCCTAGGAAGGAGGCAGGGTGCAGGTAACAGGATAGAACCCTTTCCTTGACAGGCTGTCAATAGCTGGCAGTAACCACTCTGTGGCCGAAGCTCTGCTCATCTTCCTGGAGGCACTGCCAGAACCAGTCATTTGCTATGAACTGTATCAGCGCTGCCTTGAGTGCTCACATGACAGCCGCCTCTGTCGCCAGGTAGGCCCCAGAGCCCATCTCTTCCTGGCTGGTCTGCATTGTGTACAGAAGCATAGAATCAGAAGGGATTTCAAAGGTCATCTAGTCCAAATGCCGCAGCAAGTAACAGGGAATCCACTAAAGCATCCCTGAAAGCCAGTAAACCGGCACACTGGCAGGAGGGTTAGTCTGGTCTGGGAAGCCTTGTTAACTGCAGAGGCTGCTGAATGTTGACAGTGGATGCTCTTGGATTAACATGGTAGCACAGGGGTTGATGTCTCCTTTGATAACCATCCCTCTCGGTTGTGGGGGGGGGGGGCGGTGCGTGCACGTGTTGCCTTTTTGCTTTCTGACAAGGAGTTGTAACAATAACCCACCTGTTTCAGTGAACCTCGCTTGAATTTCCAACACAGGAAATGGCCATATACCACTGGGCCATCTGGCTCAGTATTGTCTAAATTGATAACAACAACAACAACAACAACAACAACAACAACAATAATAATAATAAATTGTATTTATACCCCGCCCTCCCCAGCCAAGGCTGGGCTCAGGGCGGCCAACAATCAATAATAAAAATGAGTTGAATGAATACAACTTAAAAACAAGATTAAAATACAACATTAAAACAATTAAAATGCAGCCTCTTCACAGGAGGAGAAAAGAAAAAGGGGGGAGGGAATCAAATTGACTCCAAGCCAAAGGCCAGGCAGAACAACTCTGTCTTACAGGCCCTGCGGAAAGAAATCAGATCCTGCAGGGCCCTGGTCTCATGAGGCAGAGCGTTCCACCAGGCCGGAGCCAGTGTTGAAAAGGCCCTGGCTCTGATTGAGGCTAATCTAACTTCCTTAGGGCCCGGGACCTCTAGGCAGTGGCTCTAAGTAGTGGCTCTCAAGGATTTCAGACAAGGGATGTTCCCTACCCTACCTGGAGATGCTGGGAGTGGAACCTGAGACTTTCTGCATGAAAAGCAGGTGGTTTACTGCAGAGCTATGGACCTTCCCCCAAGATATCTCAGTTGGTAGAGCATGAGACTCTTCATCTCAGCATCATGCGTTCGACCCCCACATTAGGCATTGCAGAGGGGGGTCGATTAGTTAACCCTCATGGTCCCTTCTGACTCTACAATTGTATTATTCCCCAAAGTTCCCATCAGAGTTCTAGTCCAGTTACCATTTAAAAAATTCCTTTTTTTTTTAATGCCAGGTCTAAACCTGCAAACATAAAAAGTACACTGTGCTAGTGATGCATGCCCCTCCTCCACCCAAAGCTCTGCATGGAAGCTCCAAGCTGACTTCCCCTGTCTTGCAGGTGATCTGCCAGTTGCCACGGTCGCACCGGAACGTCTTCCGCTACGTGATGGCCTTCCTGCGGGAGCTGCTGAAATACTCCGAGAGCAACAACGTCAGTGCCAATATGCTAGGTAAGGCCTGCCTGTCCTGGCTGGGAGCTGGTCTTCCTCCTGCTTCCGCCTCCTCTCACGCTAATGTTTTCGCTTCTCTGCAGCCACCCTCTTCGCCAGCCTCCTGCTACGGCCTCCGCCCAACGTTCTGTCGAAGCAGAGCCCACAGGAGCGCCAGCGTGCCATCGGCTTCCTCCTGGGCTTCCTGCTGGGGGCGGATGACTACTAAAGGTGCCAAGCGTTGGCTCCACGCCAGCAGCGAGGCAGCCTGGAGATGAAATGGGGAGGGAAGAGGCAAGGCCTAGCCTCTGTTCTCTGGTGCCACGGAGGTGAATCGATTTCCTGCCTTTCCCATTGTGCCATCGTGCCATGTGCCAGCTCCCTTCCCTGTGCTTCGCCCTTTCCACTTTTTCCTCTTGACTCCTGACACAGTTGAACACTTGGTTTTCCACATGGTTCCAGGGCATTGGCAGGTTAATGGTGCTTTGGGAGGGACCTTGTTGGAGGACAGTCATTCCCCTGCCCATCCTACCACTACTGCTGCTCTCAGTCCCTGTGCAGTATTCCACTCCCTCCCCTTCTGCTGCAGCTGAGCATGTGATACTCTTGGTGGGTACAAGGCATAAGGATTCCTAGCCTGTCCTGGAGTTGCAGGGCATCTTTCTCTGTCCTCGTCCCCCCAGCGTTGATGCTGGTCAAGAAGGGGCAGGGCACCCACTGTGGCCCACATACTACTTAGCCTGCTCTGTGTAGTTCAGATATCTGTCCCCATTCTGCCAAGTAGAGTGTGTGACGCATATTCATAGTCCTACCAGTCATCCCTGTCCCCCAGTTCTAGGGTGTTAATTCTTCATGAAACACTAAGCACTGCCTAAAGGGATCAGGGAGGAGGAGAGGGCACAGGCTGGGCAGCAGGAGGGGAGCTGAGGCAGTGGGTACAGCTGGGTTGGGTTGGGCTCCCCACCCGACCCAAGTTCTGCAACTTTGTCTTTTTGGTTTTCTGTCCTGGATACCTGTACTTCGTGCACTCTCTCTCTTTTTTAAATTGTATAATTTATTGGAAAACTGTTGTTTCAAAATAAAATATCCATTGTGCAAAGATTGTTCTGGTGTTTGGAGGGGAGCTACACTTGCCTTTGCTGGTTTCTCCACTGCTCTGAAGCTCAGCCAGACCTTCCAAATGTAGCCTTCCTGGGCTCTTGCAGCACACATGAGAGAGAGGCTGTGGGAAGGGGGCGCTGCATGGGGCATCAGGACGTGCAGATACCATGGAATCTGATTTAGCTTGAGAACAACCTTTTAACAAACAAACAAAACATATATATATATATAATATAATATAAAGACGACTCTGCTTGCAGCTTGCAAGTTTCAGCCCACCAGCAGCAGCAGCTGGCTTCGACTTATTGCATAGACTCTTGAGGGGAGGTCTGCCCTCCCCTCTCCCCATTAACCTTTGTCTCCAGGGCTCAGTGGTAGAAGGGAGAGCAGAGGAAGGAAAAGAACTGGGCTTGGCTTAATTGGGGGGGTTATGAGAGCATATGTGCACCTGGTGCCAAGGGATAAGGCTGCAGAACTGAGCAGAGCACATTTAAGAGCAGGAGGAGCTGAGCCCTGCTCCCGCCACCACCACCAACAGCAACTCCTAGATGTCCAGCTGTTCTTCTCAAGGGAGTCCAAAAAATGGCCAAAGGAGACTGGAGCTGTCAGTGCAGGTATGGAGACCGCAGAGTCTGGATAGGAGATCTTTTATTATTTATTTTCGTTTGAAGCAGAGTGGGGTGGAGACTAGATGGATCACTTTGAGGGGAAGCAGGTGGAGAGCAGTGGAACAGGATTGGGAACTTCCCCCTTCCCCACTGATATAATCCAACTGGGCACCCTAGGAATTGGCAGGGCCAACCTGCGCATGAGGCGTTGCAAGGCCATTGCCTCAAGCGGCAGAACCAGGTCCATAGAGCACCAGGCTTGCAGCCATGTCACTATTGTGACCACCATGACCACGGTCATGCCCTTGTGAGTGTTTCACCAACACAACCTGCTCCTCTCCAGCCTCCTTTCCTGAAGGGGAAGCCAAGGACTGGAGGAGGAAACAGAGGCAGGGCTCAGGGTGTTTCAGCCTCAAGCAAAAACATCCGGGGCTGGTCCTGGGAGTGGACATTAGAAATTGCTTTTGATATGGAAAAGAGTGGAATGAAGGAAAGGGGGGGGGAGGGGAGCGTGTTAAAGCAAAATGGATGAGTTTTCCAAACTAAAATTGGGATTGAAGCAGAGTTCTATTGATTCACAAAAAGGGCTTCTTCCAGCCCAGTGGAATTTTTGGCTCCCCTCACCCCAGCGTCTTAAAACACAGGAAGAGCTTGGGGAATAAATTTTGTCTGTAAGGTAGATGTTTGGAATGGTCTGTCCTTGGTGTGAAAAGAGGATTATTTCAATATTTACTTTAGTGAACTACATCTCCCACAACAACAGCTCTGAAGATGGCACAGATGTTCAGAGCGGGTTGCTGATAATGCCAAGGTCATAAGTTTGATCCCTGTATAGGCCAACTGCCTTATTCCTGCATCGTAGGGGATTGAACTAGATCAGTGGTTCCCAGTTAGCTAATTACTGAGGACCTCTTATTTTTCAAAAGCCAAGCCACAGACCCCCTACTTTTGAAAATTTTGATAACTCTATGGTAGTTACCTCTGCAAAGCAATTTTTTGAACAAAATGTGGGGTAATAAACAAAGGATTTTAGGTATACTAAAAAAAACAACCGCCCATAAAATTTATGATATTGCCATGCAAAAATGACAAAAAATTAGTTGGAGGGAGGCAAGGGATGGGGCCACAGACCCCTGATTCGGAATAACTGAACTAGATGGTCCTCGGTGTGCCTTCCAACTCTACAATCCTATGATCCTGTGTCTTAAACACAAATCTTGAGGAATAAAGCTTTTGCTTAATTCTGATTTGCACTTGTGTCCCTACTCCCCACGTGTAGAATTGCTATACGTTTGGATTTTCCTGGACATTAAAGCGTTTCCCTCAAGGACACTTGTTTCCAACGGCCAAATCCTGGCAATTCCAGGCGGATGGCAACCCTACCCACTTGTGCCAGATTGCCTGGCATACATTACAAGCATCTAGACACATAGATTATCTAGAATCCCAAGCAGCGACATTGTGAAACTTTAATAGGAATAAAAGGTAGGGGGAAAGAAGGCACAATGTCAAGCAGGTTATAGAATAAACCAGAGCACTGTGGGTCTAATGAATCTCTTGCTCCCCACTCTGCCCTTCTAACAATAACATTTTTTTGCTTGCTGGATGGCTGTGTGCAATGAGACCTCAGTCACTGAGGAAGGGTACTGGCCCAGTGGTAGAAGTATGTGCTTGGCATGCAGGCGATCCAAAAATCAATTCAAGAGCAAAATTCCAGTTCTCGTGTTTCTGTATACATGGCTAATTTAAAGGGGAATAGCATGGTGCCTTCCACAGAGTCAGACCATTGATCCGCCTAACACCTAAAGGGAGGACCAGAGCTCGCTGGTGATGCATGTCCCAGAACAGTCTCCAGCATCTCCAGGTGAAACTGAAAACATCACCTGCCTGGAACCTTGTAGAGCCACTGCCAATCAGTACAGTCAGTGCTGAGTTAGGTAGCTATGATCCATCCACCATCACCCTTTGCCCGAAGCAAAGGCACATCGCTGGTCCAAATCTTTTCGAGAATTTCCCTGCTCACCAAGCCACCTGCCCTCCTTTATGCATTGCCGATGGCTTATCAAAGGGATCCTCACTGCAAGTCTCATCAAGGCAGACAGCTTGATGAAATCTTGGTGCCCTTTCTTACAAAATGCTAACAGGGACAATGGCACCAGTTGCCGTCTGGACTTAACAGGGTGCAGCTTATTTTAGAGCCATCAATTGTACACATTTGGAATGGCCCTTGAGAAATTATAGTCTGCCTATATTGAGCAGCTTACTACCTTGTTTGTTAAAAATTAATAAAAAGCATGCTTAAAATCAAACAGGGGAAATGATTTTTTCCCCCTGGCTTCTTGAGAAAAGAATAATGTCTAATTATTTGTATCTGCTTTTAAATGTTGTGTTTCTTTGTAATGAGTTTTACTGGGTCTGTGGTCTTTTTAAGTTGCTTACCTTCACTAAAATATATAAATATACTCAACTGGGAACTTTTATTATACAAATTCAAACCCGCTTTTCTTTCTTAGAATGTCCTCCAAGGAAATTAGATGATGAAATGGATAGCAAAATTCTTTGGGTGGGGAGGAGGGTTCAATGTTATAATAGTTTAGATATGGACAGTCCTTCAGTACAGCAAAACTTGACACTTTGAGACCTTTTAGTTCTTCCCAAAAGGACTTCACCCACTATTTAGGGGGAAGTATGTGGTAACTGGCCTTCTGCAGTACTGATTCCACATTCTTGGACTCCTAATCTTACACGTAAATTAGAGCTGGAACCATCTCAGGCCCTATGGCTCTTGAGATGACCATGACCTATTGAGCAAAACCACAGAATAGACCTCCCTGGTGACTAAACCCCACTTGCTTTTACAAAATAAATTAACAACAGAGGAAAATCATGGAAGAAATAAAATGGCTTTTGAAATTAATGAAGGAGATTCCTATTATCCACATGTATTACGGGACATGTTAAAAGGGCCCCTAAGGGGAAATTCTGTAAACAAAGGTAGCAGGCTTTGAAAAGTTTACGCAGATACACAAGGACACATTGCTAAAGGAAACGAAGGGATTTGGAGTGACCATGAATGAACAGGTAGTACAATTCTGTACGGAACGTACAGAATTGTACCTAGAAGAAGGTTACAACTGGATTACCTTTTTGTAAACAAACAAAAAAAACAAACCCCAAAAATAAAACCGGAAGCAGCAGGACTCCTTATGAACTCTTAAAAAAACAGAACACAAAACTACATATCCCTACCTAGTCACCAAATGTGAGGGGAAATGTAAACAAGCATCTTACATTGCTTTAAATGATAACCAGATTCTACAATTTTTAATCACACCAGAAGTAAAAGCAAGGGGCATTAATAAGTTTTTGAAAAATCATGCAATTCATTTGTAGGCAAGGGAAAGCTTTCTGAAATGTACAAAATCTTACTAAGACGCACAACGGGTTGAAATGACTAAGCAGCGGACGATATTCAGGGGGGACAGTGGTTTGCCGCATGGGGAAATGTTCCTTTCTATTCATCTTAAGCAAAGATGCGGTGACCTTGTACATCCATAAATAACTTTCAGAAATGTATTTCATTACTTCCCAAACCTTACCAATGGGCTACCAAATGGCATTTCTTTCTATTTTTGATGAAGCTGGGGAAGCAGCTTTAGAAGAAGGGGTTCTTGACATTCACTGGCCTGGAAAACACCTGATGCCCATAGTGATGTCCGCAAATTGTGGGTGTTGCATTGATGGAGAAACTAAGGCAACCAATGGGGACATGACGCAACCTGTGTTCTAAAGATACATTTCGTGCAATGTGGGTTTTCTTTAATAAACATCTAAAGATTATACCGGGCTTCTTCAAACGCACATAGCCTCTTACAAGCAGAGGTTTTAGATTAATTTTTTTGTAAACGTCTGTAATAAATAGTGGTTACAGAAAATACGACCAAGCAGTGCAGTGCTGGACTCATCCCTCCTGTCAACGTGCCTAGGAAGCACGGGTCCAAGTAATTTCTGCCTTACTCTGCTCTTTTCTTTGTGAAAGCCTGCTCTTTAGCTTTTAAATCGGAGCAAACATCAATCCACCCCCTCCCAAATAAACATTTTTTTTAAATGAGCCCCCCTACTCTGCGTGTGCTTTAAGCCAACTGCTTTCTTCGGCTCCTGTCTCAATGTGCAGAAATTGAGCACATGAATTTTTCAGCATCGTGAGTTTCCCCCAAGATAGTGTCGAGATAAGCCGTGTTTGTGTGGCTTCACATTGCACCAATCAAGCTGCACCTTGGTTTTCAAACATTTTCAAACATTTTGGAAGTCAAATGGACTTCGAGAGCAGATTAAGTTTGGCGCTTTTGTTTTTGCTCTGTATTTTGCATTTTTGGTTTTTGATGCTTTT